AGGTATATAGGGACAGAGTTCAGGCGTCCACATGCTTTGCTATTTCTCGCTCCTCACTTTGCAATTTTGGGGCGTGGGGAAATCACACCTTTCCCTTTTAAAACACATGTTCGGGGTCCCTAGAGAAGGGGAAGAGAGGGGGGGAAAAACACAGGAAGCCTTCCTGGCTTAAAATGTAAGCCTCCTCCATTTTCGTTCCAAAGAGCAGAGAGCGGGCGGGCTGCCCTGATGGGCCGACCTATTTTAGCTAGGGATGTTGGATCATCTTTGGGTCTGAGTTTGAATCTCTGGGTCTGAGTTCTGAGCCGCAAGCCTCAAATTCAAGTCCCTGTTTTAAAATGACAAAAAACAAGCTTATAAGCTACCTTCTTTTGTGCTGGGGGGGTCACTTATCCATCGTCCAAAAATATTAAAAAGAAAATCCTAGAAATAGATGTAATGGTGTAATGATCGGAAGTGGCCACAGGAGGGAGACATAGACCATGCTCTGGATAGTGTTCACTCTAATCCACGGTTTTCAGCATCCGCAGGGAGCTTGGAACTGAACCCCTCAGATATGGAGGAGTCTTACTGTACTCAGAAGGTGTTTGCTATTTCCTCTTTCTGGGGACAACTCAGGACTGTGCTGCTTGCTCAAGGCCACTCAAGCAAGTTCTTCTCCCGGGAAGCCCCATGGGGGGGGGGGGAAATCAAACTTCCGGCCTAGTTCTACAGAATCCTAGAAGAACAGAATAAAATCTTAGCATGACTGAATCAAGGAAATGGAAGGGGGCGATCCAGAAGGCCATCCAGTCCATCCCCCGGCTCAAGGCGGGAACTCAAACCCAAGCAGATCGAACAGGATGGTCCAATGTTCTCTTGAACTTTTAAGCTGTCCAGAACTCTTGTGGAGGCTCAGAGGGTATCAATTTTGGGGATTGCAAGAAGACGTCCGAAGAAGTCACTCCTTCAGAGGTGTTGCCGTAAATCCAGAAAAAAAAGCCCGGTCTCATGTCCTGGCTGTCATTCTGGAAGCAGATGAACCTTAAAGGCCTGTCACTCGCCTAGGGAGGGAGTCAAAAAAGGGTCAAGAAGATCAACAGCTTCCGGGTCCTGGTTTAACACCATCTGAGGTTGAAGAAAAGAACCATGGCCGGAGTTTGATCTTTGGATCTTGGCGTTGTAATGGACTGAGAAAGACAACGCGCAGCAGCAGCATTTAGTTTATTCCCACCGGGGTTGACAGGGCCCATGTTTTTTCATCCAGCTACTCCGTTGGGTGAAAAAAAGACAGCAGGGTTCGGCCAAACGAGCTGGTTCCACGACCCGCGCTTTTCCCAGTCTCTGTAATTCTGAGCAGAAAAAGGTCTGTTGACCCCATTGGGAGTTGTTCATGAAATGGGCCGGTGGCGAAAGCGTCTAAATCCCCCACACCTTCTTTTTTTTCAAAATTCAGAACTTTTCATTTCCTGGCGGGGGGGGGGGAAACAGCCATGGCGTTTGCTCTTAGAAACCTGGTCAACCCGTTTGGCCAAAATCAATGGCGGGATAAGCTCTTAACACAAACGATCATTACTTTTTTTGTGTGCCATTGTGCATGAAGAAAGGTATTGTCTGCAAAACCCATGAGGTCCTGGTCGCCCATTATTTGGCCCTGGTGAGACCCTCTCCAGAGTCCTGGGTTCCAGTTCTGGACGCCCCACTTTAAGAAGAAGGCTGACCAAGTGGCGCACGTTCAGAGGAGGGCCATCAAGATGATGAAGGGAGACTGGAAGTCAACCCTATAAGGAGGAAAGATGGAAAGAACTGGACCTGTTTAGCCTGGAGAAAAGAAGACAGAGGGGAGACAGGAGAGCGATTTTCAAATCCTTGAAAAGTGATCCTACAGAGGAGAGGGGCAGGATCTGCCCTCCATCCTCCCAGAATGCAAGACACTATTTGAGATAAAGAGGTGTCTAGTTAACATTTTAATGCCATCAGATCTAATTTTTTTACATTTTCACACCAACACAGAAACTGAAAATCAGTTATCCTTCAAAATTCGCCCTTCTCCAAAAACCAGCAACAGAACGCTCCGTGTTTTTTCTTTTTCAAAACAGGGGGAGGGGGAAACAAAACCAAATAACATGTTTTTATTCAAAGGAAAGCGTACACCACAACGAAACCCGTGGCATAGAAAAGCGGGTGGATTTTTTTCAAATCAACTCCAAAGCAAAATATTTTGCAAAGCCCAGGAGGAATGGAGCTGACAGCTATTGGGGGGGGGGAACACACCTGAAAATTCAGGCTGGAAGAAATCGGGGAGAAAAAATGAGAAACGAGGAGCAAAACGGGGGGGGGAGCGAAACAGAGAGAAAGCAAAATGCAGCCATGTGAGAGAAACCAAGTTAAGGGACTTTATCCATTGACATCTGTTTCACCATTGATACTCCTAATTTTTCTGCCGATGGGCCACTTTTGATCATGTGGGGCAGTGGAACTAGCGAGATGACCCATGAAAGAGGAGCGGGGGGGAGAAAAATATAACCATCCTACATCTACCCTGACAAGCCGCAGCAAAGCGGGACTCCTGCGTCGAATTAATCTTCGACCTCTCTCCTCGGATATCTCAGCCGACCCAATGAATTACCTGAATATTTGGTTGGCCTTTGGCTGAGTGAGAACAGATGTTCAGGGGGTCTCGGTCTCGTTTGCTTCCCGCTGAAGGATCAATTAGCATTGCAGCGAGCGGGGGGGGGGGTTGGCCCGTGCTGAAGAGGGGAACATTTGGTCTTGGAAGGAAAAAATAGTCTGGGCAGATGCATGGAGAAGAGAACCCAGAGGGGTTCCGTCAATAATAATAATAATAACAACAAAGCACAAAGCCTCAGAAAAGAGGATGCATTGACATAAAGTGTTTTTTTAAAAGGAAAACAAAGAGGTCTGCATAGGCAATATTCACAGGTCATCCTCATCCTCTTAGAACGGTGGAGCTAGAAGGGGCCCTTAAGATAATCCAGACCAGTCCCTCTCAAGGAGGCCCCGTGGGGGATTCGAACTCCCCACCTCCGGCTCCGTAAATAAGCTCTGTGCATTTAAAGAGAAGAAGCTAGTAGGGAACATTGTGTGGCCATCCATCTACAGATGACTGCTCTTTGCCGTAGACTCAGGGTGCGAGTCAAAGCCTTGCGGCTTGGCTCACACGTTGCTTCCATGTTGATACAACAGGATCCCCCCCCCATATCTGCAGGGGTTTGGTTCCACGGATGCTGAAAACCGCGGATTAGAACAAACAATATTTGAATAGCACACTCTATGCATCCCGTGCATGGTCTCTGGTTCCCTCTTATGGCCAGAGGTGGAAGTGCCACCTTGAATATATATTTATTTAGCAGATGTTACAAAGCATGCAAATGCGAGTAGATAAATAGGTACCACCTTGGTGGGAAGGTAAAACTGTGTTCCCTAGTCACACTGGCCACGTGACAACGGAAACTGTCTTCGGACAAGCGCTGGCTCTATGGCTTGAAAACAGGATGAGCACCGCACCCTAGAGTCTATCTATCTATCTATCTATCTATCTATCTATCTATCTATCTATCTATCTATCTATCTATCTATCTATCTATCTATCTGGATTTTTAAAAATATTTTCAGACTGTGGATAAGCGAGTTTAACCCCATTGAACTTGCCCCATAGGGGAAAATGTGACAGGTGATGCCACCCGGTGGCAATGGAGGGTAAGACGCCAGAAATCACCTTTTCAGCTGAAATTTTGGTTTAAAGCATTTAAAGCTCCCCTTGAACCCTGAAGTGGAGCTTTAAAAAACCAGGAGAGGGAAATCCAGCCATTTGAATATATACCTTTTGGGGACCAACGCCCGGAAAACTCCAGCTGGCATGCTTAGGAACCCGTTTCTACCAAAAAAAGGGGGCCTTCTTTGTCTTATGGGTTCCTGAATTTTAGTTTAGTTGGTGGGATCGCTCAGCGTTTGAGGTCTCTGACTGTGGAGCCAGAGGTTGGGGGTTCGAATCCCCCTGCGCCTCCAGCTGCGCAGGCCAAAAAATGCCCCCCCCCCGGAAGTAGGGAAGGGAAGGGCACTTCTGAAAATTTTCTACCTGGAAAATCCTGAAAAGGGTCACCAGAAGTCAGAATTGAGTTGACGGCACGGGAATTATTATTATTTAAATCTCCTTTTATGACTAAATCCCCAGGGAAGTTGTGAGAGGGATCACTTAATTTTTTTTTAAAAAAAGACATAGGCTGCCTTGCGGAGAGACATCCTGGATCCCTGTGTGGAACCTATGAAACATCCATCAAAATTTAAAACCACAAAACTTCCCGACATAAAACAAAATGAGAAGTAACAAGGAGCAAGAAAACGGCGAGGAACGGGCATAAAAAGATGCTCCCGAACGGAGTTTCTGCTAAATGCCAACAGCCCCATTCGGCCCCACACTCCCATCCAGAGCTACAGCCCTTATAGATCTACAGATTTTAACTTTACTACAACACCCATCATCCTGGCCCTGGGCTACCTCTGGAAGTCCTGGGTCTAGTCCATAAATCTCCCAGAAACAGCACAGATTTCACCCTTTTTATCAGACGCAGCAAAGCGTGACTTTCTGAAGCATTGGCTGTGAATGATCATTCTGGTTCCCGGACCCGAAAAAAAGAGGACCCCGATATCCACGGGGATCCTCATCCGCGGTTCCACTTTATCCACAGTCTGAAAATAGGAAAAGAAACATTTCTAGTCTGTTTTTTTCCTTTTCATATTTTGAGATCAAGGATAAAGGAAAACACGAATGGAGATCTCATGGATACAGTAACGAATTCTTGGGATATAAGAGTAGACTTCGGTCCAGATGGGCGGGAAATAAATTAAATCAAAATAATAAATTGGCGCCGTGCTTTTTCCTACCTCCAAGGAGCAGGCCTCCTGCTGCGGAAGCCAAGCTTAGACAGGAGATTTGACATGGCTTCTTCTTCTTCTTCTTCTTTTGTCTCTCTGCTCCAGACCCGGCAACTTTAGCCCCGCAAGATCCGAGCCTCCTCATCGGCTCTACGCTCACGGCCAACTGTTCGGTCAGTGCCGACTCAAGGCTGAAGGCTGAGGACCTTTACTGGACCCTGAATGGCCGGCGGCTCCCAGACGAGACTTACACGGTCCTTACTCCCAAAACCTTGAGTGTGACCTTGGCGAATCTGAACGGATCCCGCCAGCAGTCGGGGGACAACCTGGTGTGCCATAGCAAGGAAAGCGGGGGGATCTTGGCTGGATCGTGCCTCTATGTAGGATGTAGGTTTCATCCTCCACCCACCCTCCCCGTGTGTGTGTGTGTCTTTGCACCATTAACATCGTAGGAAGGAAAGAGGGGGATGGGGGGGGTAAAGAGGTTGAGCCGGATGCCACCCAGGCTGTCAAAAGAATGTGTTCCAAAAAGTGGGAGGACAGAGACAGCTTTTGCAGAAAGGGGTTTCCGTAATGAGTCGAGGAGAACTCCTTAAATCCTGACATGGACTTCCGAACTAAAGAACAGCAAGGGGGCGACCCTGCAAGGAAGGGTCCCACCTGAGCACGCCGGAAAGGGTAGATTGGCTGGGAGCAACTTCCCATAAAGCAACCCTTGATTCGATGTGCACCATTGATTCAATGCGCACTGGCCCAGTTCCAAAAACAATTAGCCCTGGGCACAGAACAAGCTTGGGCTGGTTCACAATGTATACTGTAGGACCCACGTATCCATAGGGGTTCGGCTCCGACCTCCTGTGGATGCTGAGAAAAGCAGATGATAGCAAACGCTCTCCCCTAGCACGGTCTCTGGCTCCCACTCGTGGCCCATTCGGGTCATGACACCATAGAAATATATTTCTCTAGCGAACGCTATACAAACATCATCTCTGGCTCCCTCTTGTGGCCCGTTTTGGTAACTTCCTCTTTAGAAATCCACTGTTCCAAGGATTTTTCTTTGCATGTTTGTCATATTTTCAGACCAGGAATAAGTGAATCAGCAGGCTACTGATTCTGTGGATAAGGGAGGTCCAGGAGAAAGGGAAAGGGAAATAACTTCTCAAGACTCTCTTAAAGAAAAACCCTAAAAAGGGTCACCACAAGTCACCATCGACTTGATGGCACACAATGATTATATATGAACTCTTGTTGCCTGCTTCTCTAAGGGCGCTCCTTCGGATCCGTTTATCTTCCTCCGCCTTCCACCTGTGGTTTTCCATCTTTGGTTCCATCTCTGCTCTTTTAGCAAATTCTTTTTTTTTTTTAAATGTCCTCTGTTTTCGGGCCTCAGTGAAGAGGGAGCCTGCCGTGACGGCTTGGGGACTTCACCAAGAGAGTTAAAGCTATTTCAGCAACGTTTTCTACCATTCCGCTTGTCCGAATCAATATCTGAGAGATATTTATCTTGGGGCTATTTTTACGATCCTCTCTGGCAAGAGGGAAACTTCGGCTGGGAATGGCAACACCACGATGATCGGAAACAACTCAAGGGCAAAGTTTAAAAATCTGTGCGATGCTAAAGGAGGGAGGCATCATCTCTCTCTCTCTCTCTCTCTCTCTCTGACAGACAGACAGACAGACAGACACACACACACACACACACACAAAGCAAATTAACAGATCTTTTCCCCCCAAGGTTGGGTGCTCCCATTTCATTTTCCCTGTTGTGTCTTGACATCTTCTAGTGCCGCCCGAGAAGCCGACCAACATTTCATGCTGGTCTAAAAACTTGAAGGACCTCACTTGCAAATGGGCTCCCGGGACAGAAGGCGAGACGTACCTGCACACCAATTACACTCTCAAGTACAAACTCAGGTAGGATGGACTGCAGATGTCTGGATTTGTTTGTAAAAAAATTCCTCTAGCAGTGCAGCAGAAGGGCAAGATTTCCTAAAGCAGAATAGCTTCCAAGTTTCCTCCAGAGTAGTCCACCCCCTTTGTCTCATCAACTGGCACTTGCCATCTCAGGAACTCACTCTGAGACATTAGTCAGAGAAAAAATAAGCGGAAAGGATAAACGGTTTCATCCATTACAATCGAAGAGATCAAATGGCAAAGCAAAAATGGCTGCTTTCAACACATTCAAGAGAGGGAAAAAGACACTGAGCAGAGAGGCAGGGCTGTCTCAGAATTCCGAGGCAGGGAAGGGATGATTGGTTAGTGCTGGAGAGATTGACAGTCAGAAAGTTCCCTCCCAGCCAAGTCCATCAAAGGCAGCCTGCGATTTTGCCAAAAATCCCACCATGTAATGGAGCAAATGAAGGCATCTCAGCCTTTCTTTCCAGGTGGTATGGCCGTGACAACATTTGCCAGGAGTATCAGACCGCAGGACCCTATTCCTGTCACATCCCTAAGGACCTCGCGCTCTTCACCCCCTACGAAATCTGGGTCGAGGCCTCCAACCGGCTCGGGGTGGCCAAGTCCGACATGGTGATGCTGGACATTGTCGACGTTGGTAAGTAAGATTTTTGAGGTGGTTCTCGTCTGTTTCTACCTCTCCTCCCCAGGAGGCTGAGTTCATCCCTTAGCACCACCGCCCATGAGCAGGTATGAATTTGAAGGAATCTGTTGCAATGACAGTAGGCCCCCTGTAACTGTGGGATTGGTACTGATGGTTTAACTTACTTGCTGTTTGAAAATATTAAAAATATTAAAAATATTTTCAAAAAACCCATGAAAATATTAAAAATATTTTTTAAAAAACATAGAAATACATATTTCCACAATGTACAGTATTTACAGAACCGGCCACCAGATTAGAAATACATATTTTCACAATGTATTTACAGAACCGGCCACCAGATGGAGACAGAGACCATGCTATGTATTCTTGTTGAAAAATAATGGGCTCTGGCTCCTTCTAGTGGCCATTTCTGGTAATCCATACTAAAAATAGTTTTTTTCTGGATTTTTCTTTTACTACATTATGTATCGTGTTTGCTATTGTCTGCAGTTTTCAGTTTCTGCAGAGGGCTTGGAACAAATCCTCCACAAATATGGGGTCCCACTGTATTCATACGTATCAAGATTCACTAAGGTACTGGACGCAATTCAAATTAAACCTGTCCGGTTTCCTTTAAATGTGTAAGCCTGTTTTTCTTTTTATAGAAAAGGACCCAGTTTAATCCTTTTGGGTTCCACAATAGAGGTGAAGGGCGCCTTCCCTCTCTGTGACCAGGAGTGACTTGGATGATCAATAAATAAAGGTGCTCTCGTACAGAAAATGCAAAAAAATATTAAAAAGTTAAACAAATTCAGGGCTTGGAAGAAAGAAGGAAGCGAGAAACCAGAACATGAAATTCAACCTATCAAGGCTTTGCCCAGTGCGTCTGGGTGTGTGTGATGTCACACCTGTGACATCACACACTAGGGACCTCATGGATGGGGTCTGCAGCGCCAGGAAATGCATCTTGAGGGGGAGAAACAGGGATGTTGGCTGCATCGCGGAGGGTGGGAAGGGAGGGGGGAGAGAGGAGATGATGGAGGAGAAAGCAGGAAATAGATCATAAGTGAGTGGAATTGCTCTCTTAATTTAATTAGGGTCTTTTTGCTTTGTTTAGTTTTCCCTTTCGGCTCCTTCCAGACATCTGCGCCTCCTTAACCCTTTTTCCCTTTCCGCCTGGCCTCTGGCCAAGGTCAGAACAGCGCACGTGCTGGCCAGCCATAGAGGCGAGAGCAGGCAGAGGGCTGCGATGGGGGAAGAGCTGCCCCACAGAGGGATGGGATGGGATGTGACGCCCCTCCCTGGCTTGGGAAAGAAACTCATCCCCCCCCACCAATAAGGCCTAGGAGATGGTTCCAATTCTTCTTGTTTTCACTCTCGTGGAGAATCTGAACCCAAGATCGCGGCTTGAGCACCGGTCATTCCCAAACAGCGACTTACAAATGTGCGGCAATGAACCGAACCAATCAACAGCAGAACCCACGATGCCCTTCCCACTGAGGAATAGAGAGGGAAAAACGCTTGGCCGAGAAGATGGGGGGGGGCTCTCTTTCCGTTCAAAGGTGGGAAGTAGCGATTGGTTAGTGTGGGAGAGATGGATAGGCCACCCAGCCCGAAAAAAGTCCCTCCTGGTCAATCCACCTGTGAGGTTGTCACGGCTCCAGCAATTTGGGGATTTGCAAAAAAATTTGGGGGGAGATCCCTTTGCCCGTGGGTCACAAGGCAAGGGCAGTTTCAGTCGTTCTCATCACTCGGGGGGGGGGGTCGTGTTGCTAACATGTCCATGCATCTATTCCTCTTCCACCACCATCCTCCCTTGACACAGTGACCACGGATCCCCCCTCCGATGTCCACGTCAGCCGTGTCGGGGACCTGGAGGACCAGCTGAGCGTCCGGTGGAGTGCCCCTCCCGCCCTGAAGGACTTCCTCTTCCGAGCCAAATATCAGATCCAGTACCGAGTGGAGGACAGCTTGGAGTGGAAGGTGAGCCTCCGTCTTCCTGTGCCGTCAAGCTGATTCCGAATGACAGCCCACCTTTTGTTCTTTTGCAGGGTGGGAAGGACCGTTCTCCCCCCCTCTCCTTTGGGGACCAAGCTGGCTCTCCTGAGAGCAAGAGGCTCAACTGGCAATCCCAGCTGGACCGGGAATATGAACAAGCCTGTTGGTTCCAAAAAAAAAAAAAAAAAGGAACTCTTTCCCTTTCTCGTCCTTAGAAAGGCACCAAAATATTTAGTTGGAGCTACCAGGTACCGGGTGGCGAGGTTCCCCCTCTCCCTCTAAATATTAGGTACCGTCAAGTCGTTCCCAACTTATGGTGACCCCGTAAGCGGATCTCTAAAATGCCCTGTCCGTCCTCCACAGCCCTGCTCAACTCAAAGATCATGGTTTCTTGTAGGCAGCCGATCGATCTCTTCCTTGGCTCTTCCTCTTTCCCTGCTGCCATCAATTTTCCTCAGCCTGAGGTCCTTCTCCAGAGGTGCCCAAATCAAGACAGTCTTCCTTTCAACCTCTTTGCCTCCAGAGAGAGTTCAGGCTTGATTTGATCTAGGACCCACTTTCGGGCCGTCCAGGGTGCCCCCAAAGCTTTAAAATACATCCTGTAAATACAGCGTAAACCAAATGCAATGATAAAATCGGGGGAAGAGGAGAGCCTTGAATGCTGCTTCGAGGTTGCTGGGGGGACAAAATATCTGTCGAAATATCAGCTATAAATGAATCTGTTCTCTTGTAAACGGGGAAAGGGCCCCCCCTGAACTTTAAGTCTGGCTCTGGAAGGTAGGTCACCCACTTTCCTTCCCAACAGGTGGTGGACAACGTGGGCAACCAGACCTCCTGCCGGCTTGCGGGGCTAAGGCCCGGCACGGTGTACTTCGTCCAGGTCCGGTGCAACCCATTCGGCATCTACGGCTCGAAAAAAGCCGGGATCTGGAGTGACTGGAGCAACCCCACGGCCGCCTCCACGCCTCGGAACGGTGAGTGCGCTAGGATCCTGATCCCCAACAGGTGGTGGACAACGTGGGCAACCAGACCTCCTGCCGGCTTGCGGGGCTAAGGCCCGGCACGGTGTACTTCGTCCAGGTCCGGTGCAACCCAGTCGGCATCTACGGCTCGAAAAAAGCCGGGATCTGGAGTGACTGGAGCAACCCCACGGCCGCCTCCACGCCTCGGAACGGTGAGTGTGCTGGGATCCTGATCCCCATCGTCCACACACACACACACACCTCGGGTGGGACTGCCGCCAGGTCCTGGTCTCCCCTCTTCGTGGGAATCCAGCCGGCCCGCATCTCTGGGGACAGCCGCGGCCTCCCCTCAGTTCCAGAAAGCCAAGCAGACGCCCGGAGAATCTGAGGCTGCGCCAAAAAGCCCCTTTGGGGGAAGAAAGCCAAGCGTCTCCGGAGGGATCCTGACCTGGGAGGATGGCCGGCACCTGGATTTCTTGTTCCTGAGCCAGGCGAGAGGTTTTGTTTCCCCGCTGGGAAAGTCTGTGAGCACCTCCCGGGCTCAAAAGCCACCCCCAAAAGCTCGCCCCTCCTGAGCAGGGCTTCACACCCAGGCTTCTCCGCTTGGCTGAGACGAGACCCAACGGCAGGAATCAGAGAATCCTGGCTTGGGAAGGGGGACCCCATCAGGCCATCCAGTCCAACCCCCTGCTCAAGGCAGGGACCCAAATCCAAGTGGATTCATTGACCTGGACCATCGCCCCCAGAATCCCCAGCCAGCAGGGCCGAGTCAGAGTTTGGGGGATCCAGAGTCCAAAAGAAGCCCATGTCTTTCTAAGTTGGAAGGCTCACCTGTTTGAACATCGGCCTGTCAATTTAGCAACAGAGGCTGAGTTAAAAGATGGAGGTAAGGGAAGAAATATCCTAAATTAGTTTTTTTTGGGGGGGGGGAGGAAGAAAACAAAGCAGCCCAGTAATGTACCTGAAAAAAAGGGCAACCTAAATGCAGTTTATTATTTCTAAAAAAAAAACAAAGGGGATAGCTTATTTGTTTATTCCCATCCCAAAAAACAAACCCCTATTCTCTGCATGGGCAGAGTTCAGAACACAGCCAAAGAACCTGAAAAACCCACAACAGCCATTAGATCCCGGCTGTGAAACCCCTATTCTCTCTAAAATAATTAGTCTTAGGCAGCTCACAATATGTTCCAGAGTTTTGAATTTCTGGTTCTGGTTGCTCTAGCTGCACAACCGAATGGCCAGGATTCAGAAAGCCTTCGTGAATACATTAAACCCCTATTCTCTCTAAATAGTCTTAGGCAGCTCACAGTATGTTCCAGAGTTTTAAATTTCTGGTTCTGGTTGCTGTAGCTGCACAACCGAATGGCTAGGATTCACAGAGCAGAGTAGCTTCAAATGGTCCACCCCTTTTAAGAATACAAAACACTTTTGTTACTGCCGGCTAAAGAGCCAACGGAGCAACATGAGGGCTCCCAAGCAAACCAGCTTCTCCCCTGTTGGCACCGACAGTCTCAATAATCCACTCTGAGACATTCACAGGAGAAAGAACAAAAAATCGTTTTCTTATGGTTGAACAGATCAAACAGCAAAATTGATCAACGTGGCGGCTTTCAGCCAACAAACTTCAACAAAAACCAACAGAGAGGGGGAATCAGTAGCACAGGAGAGAAAATGGGAGAGGGGAAAAAGGCAAAACAGGCATTTTGAAGTTCAGTAGGACCCCCGTATCCGTGGGATCAGTATCCACAGAGTCACTGAACCATGGTCGGAAAATACTAAAAAATGTTAAAATAAGATATATTTATTCATTTGATTTTATTTATCTGAAGTATTTTTATCCCGCTTTTTCTCATTAAAATAAAACCCGAGGAAGGTTGCATATACACAAATACTGTATCTACTTGTAGAGATGAAGTTATCAGAAGTGGCCACTAGAAGGCGCCAGAGACTTGCTAGGTATAGAGTTGGTTATTACAACAGGGTTTGCTATAATCCGCGTTTTTCAGCATCCGCAGAGGGGTTGGAACTGACACCCCGCAGATACAAGGGTTGTGCTGGATTAGAAACTGGCCTTACCCGGTCCTATTCTTTGGCTTGACCTACACGAGGAGACAGAAGGAAGGACTTTTTCCTGTAAAGGCCTATCTGTGGAACTCACTGCCACAGGCTGTAGAATGACAGCTAAGAGCAGAGACTGCTCTAGAAGAAAAAAAAAGTCATGAAGGGACAATTGTGTTTACAACTGCCATAACCAAAATAACGCTCCCCCCCCCAAAAAAAAACCCTCCTTGTTTTGAGTTAGGTTAGACTGGGTGTTGAAGGCAGGACACCCATGTTTTTTTTTTCTGGAGATCCTAGTGGGATCTGGCTGAGCTGGAAACATGGGTTTCCCCCCTCTATTTTTAACTAGCCAGGTTATCTCTCACATAAGATGCAAGGAAAAATGTGCCACTTAGGCTGTTCTGAAGGAGGCCTGTTTATTTGTTTATTATTTTATGTATTTAAAATATTTTTTACCCTGCTTTTCTCCTTAAAAGGGACCCGGGGGGCTGCCACCATTAAAATGTAGTCTTTAAAGCTAAGAACAGCAAGTATAAAACACTAAAAAGGAACATAGATCACTCTGAGAAATAAACAAAAGCCATACTAGCTGAACCATCCATTTAAAGACCCTGCTCAGACCGCCAGTCACACAGGGAAAGCTTGCCGGAAGAGAATGGTCTTTGCCTGCTCGCGGATAGGGATCCCGCGGATACTAGGGTCCCATGGCACTCAAGACTTACTTATTCCCGCCAGCCCTTTCATCGGTCTGAGCGAAACTACCGCTGGGGGATATTATTTTTCTTTGAGGCATTTCAAAACAACGCTCACGTTTCAAAGCCAATTCAGAGCTTTCTTTAAAAAAAAAAAAGTCTAATAACAAGGTGAAACAGAGAGAACGGCAAACGAAACTCATCCAGAGACTTAGGCAGTTGGGAGTGAAGACCAGCAGGAAAATAAGAACAAATTATCGCGTTCTCTGACTTACCACGCAGCAGGGTTCCAGGGCATGGGCAGAGTTCAGCTGGGACGACTCATGGGGAGAGGAAGCCCGCTCTAAACCGGGGCGGCTCCACTAAATCTCCACTATCACTTTTTTTCATCATCCTTAATCTCAGAGTCCCCGCACGTGCTCTCAAATGAAATCAGGAAAAATTTTGGGCTATCTCCTTTCCTATACTTGGGAAATTTCTTTAGGTCGATTTTGGAGAGATTTCCCTCACTAGAGTAGTTGTGTTATTGTTATTATTATTTGGAGCAGCTAATTCTAATTTTCTCATCCCTATTTCAAATTCCATTTGTCTCCTTTTCTCTGGCCCTTTCTTTCTCCATTTCAAAATCTCTTTCCTTTTATCTGGCCTCAGCCTTCTCTCTCTCTCTTTCTCCTTAATCTCTAATTCCCTGAGCTGTAGTTCCTTTTTCTCTAAGCCTGAATTCCTGTTCGAACCACCATTTTTCAAACTCTGGGGAGTTTAAGGACACCTTGTCTCTGTCTGAGGCATTTTCCTCATCCGTCTCCCCCTGTTTCCCTGGAGCTGGAGGATCTCCGTTTCCCTCCATTTCCTGAGGTAAACTTTCTGCCTCACGACTCCCTTTCTGGCTCCGTTTGGGTGGCGGGTTCAAGTTGGAGTGAATTGAGTCTCTAACGTCTGTTCTGCTTTTCAAAAGAACCCGTCTTTCTGCTCTAAATTCAGTAACAATGTGGTATCGCTTCCCTCACACAACCTTTTTAGTTACTGTGTGTGTCTGAGCTACTCTTCCTCTCAGACCCCAAAATAATGTATTTTCAAGCTTTCTGCTGTCCTCTGAAGATGCCGGCCACATAGACTAGCGAAACATTAGGAAGAACAACCTTCAGAACACGGCCAAAGAGCCCGAAAAACCCACAACAACCTTCTGCTTTTTAATAATTTCCTATCACCTCAGATCTGCTTTGACCCAGGCTTCCCACTTTTCTCCATCCCTGCTCCCTTATCTCTCTCAGAGCCTTGGATTTCAAGCTAGCCCACGGGGGAATCTCTCAAATCCTGAGGTAAACAAATTATTTTTTTCCCCTTCAGAGTTGGTTCCCTCTCTTTTAGTGTCTCTCTCCCCCCCCCATCAATCTCTTGATCAACCTATAATTCCTACAAAAGATGGAGGTCCAGCCAGGACTAGAACTTCTAAACAGAACCAGCTTGATGGATTACAGGTGGTTTCAGGACTAGTTCTTCAGCCCCTTCTTGAAGTTACACCAGGCTCCAGTATTTTACTTTAACCTCTCCTGTCTCAATTAACGTAGGTCACCCTTTTGACTAATCACTCCTTAAAACACACTCTTTCTGCCTCAACAACACGCCCCCCCAACTCCTTCTCTCTTCTCTCTCTGACTGAACTGACAAGTTTCTCTGGCTCCGCCTCACAACCGCCCTCATTGGGACAACAGGCCAATCATCTTCTCCCTGAGGCAAAGCAGGGTGATGGCTATGCTCCCATTCTCTACTCACCATGCAGCAGGGTTCCAGGGCATGGGCAGAGTTCAGCTTGGACGACCCATTGGGAGGAGAAGCCCGCTCTAAGCCAGGGCTGCTGCTTAAGTGGCCTCCCTTCGGCCTCTCCTGTCCCATCATCCCCATTGGGGACAGGATGGGTCTTTGGTCTTCCACAACGAGTGAATTGATAACTTCTGTGAGAGTAACTGATCAGGTAGAACGGCTGCCGCCCGTTGAGTTCCCAGGCGTCTTAAGGAGACGGGCTGAACCCTGCTTAACGCTCCCTTACTCTTGCAAAGTAACTCGGATGGCATTTTTTGCACCCACAGAGACAGGCTCGGGCATTAAAAAGCCAGGTTCTCCTTGCACCCAGCTCCTTGCCGCATTTCGCAGGTGTGGGGGGAAGAAATTCCCCCTTCCTTTGCATGGTATACAAACGTTGAAAAGAATCAAACCAATGCCCCATGCAGAATGAGCACCAGAAGCAACAAGGCACCACCGCCCTTTCCAAAAACCTCACGCAGGCTGCCAGTCACACAAGGAAAGCTTGCCCAAGGAGGAAGACCTTTGGCTGCTTGCAGACAGGCAGCAAAGAGGAGGCCTGCCTAGCCTCCAGTGGTAGGGAGTTCCAGAGTCTGGGAGCATCCACAGAAAAGGCCCCGTCTTCTGTGGATAATAGTGAACAAATGCTATACATCGCATGGTCTCTCTTCCCCTCTGGTGGCCAATTCACATAACTTCATCTTTGGAAATATACAGTACTGTATATACAGTATTCTTTTACAGTATATTCTTTTAACATTTTCTGATGGCATGTATGTGAATCCACGGATACCGATTCCTTGGAAAAGGGGGTCCTGTTGTCTTCCATGATTTTATGTCTTTTGCACAGTTCAGTTCTCCAAACACCCTGCCTCGCCTAACAAAATCCTTTCCCTCCTCAGGACGGATGCCGGGGGTGTGCGAGCCTAAGAGCGGGGAACACAACAACACCATGCGCCGGGAACTCAAGCAGTTCTTCGGGTGGATGCGGAAACACGGCTGTTCTTACGGCTGCGCCAACCTGAGCATCAAAATGTACGACCAGTGGAGGGTCTCCCTGCAGAAGTCCCACAAAACACGGAACCAGGTAAATCGCGAGTGCTAGGCCTAGCAGGCCAGGCGAGTCTAAGTCGGTCGATCTGCCAATTGACTCCAGGCTCTTTTTCCGCAGGTCCTCTCTGGCGATAAATCTTAAGTGGGATCGGAAGGGGTGCCAAATGGAGCGTCCTTGAAGGCCCGCTGGGGAGGGTGCCGTGGGGCCGAAGAAGCAAACAACACCGTCGGAAGATGGTCCACGAACACGGGTTGCATTGCAAACGGGCAATGCAGCAGGAAAAATATATATATATCAGATTTTAGCTCTTCTTTACGAGCCGCAAAAGGAGACCGACCATAAACAGGAATCCCCACCTTTGATTTTGCCATCTTTATATTATTGCTGCCGTACACAATCCTGGAATATATTTATGTATCTTGCATACATGGTTATACATACTTACTTTCGCTCCATAAGACGCACCTTTCCATAAGATGCACCAATTTTTTAGGAGAAGAAAACAGGAAAATATAATCTGTTTTCTTCGCTCCATAAGACGCACAGACTTTCCACCCCCCTGTTTTGTGGGGGGAAAGTGCGTCTTATGGTGCGAAAAATACGGTATATGTATACATTATGTATATAGCATAACTTACCATGTCAAAACCCGGGTCACTGTCCCGCTACAAACCAGACCCCGAATAGAAACGTGAATTAAGGTTTATATTCAAACTCTGAAATTTTGGGAGAAGGAAAAGCCCACATTTGGTCCCAGAATTTGTATCTTTTTCGTAAAATAAATTAAAAATTAAAAATTGCATTTAAAAATCTTTCCTGCAATAAAATAAGCCGTGATTTAAAGGAAGACCAGCTAGAAGCCGGCCTTAGAAAACCACAGACACTTGGTTTTAAAGTACACTATTATAAGAGGTATGTTTTGCCACCTCAACCTGGGGAATTTTTATCCATCTTTCATACTTAACTTTTCTTCCTTTGCATCTTCTGGGTTTTGATTCTGTGGATCCCTCGCCGGCTGTTTCCCCCCCCCTCTTGAACCTGCTGTTCCTTTTTTTAAAATCACAAGAATCCTGGTTTAAGGGATGCCCCACCCCCTGGGCTGCAGGATTTAGGCCAGAGCCATGTTTTGAACACAGACCAGCCAGCATGGCTAACGCACAAGTGAAAACAGCCTCTTCCCATTCGACCCCGTGAGATAGACTATCCCTGCATGTGGAGGGTCCATTATGAGCTGGTTCATCCCAAACTGAATTAAGCAAAGACTCCTGTCTTGTTCAGATGCTGCTTAGTGTGTACGTGAGGATGATGAAAATAGATATACTTTTTGTGTAGGTGGGTATTTCTGGCTGTTATTCCCTGCTTATCTGGGAGGGGGGGGCAGGTATGCAAGCGGTCAGTCCAAATTAACTGAACGCCAATCCAATCCAAAAATTCACACACCCACTCCTTCCTCTCTGAATTTTGAGTCTGCGCCAACACGAAAAGTTGCAGCGCAGCCAGTGGGGCGAAGGACTTGCCTTGTTAAAAAAAAAACACAGGTATTTCCATCGCATGGGGAAAGGGTTGGGCAGGAACTTTTATTCCAGAATATAAACAGCAAGGAAAGTGGGTTGGCGGCATCACCCATCCGCCAGGCGCTCCCAAGTCTTGGCCCGGGATGGAGACATCTTTATGGGGGTCTGGGAGGGGGGGCTCTCTCTGTCTGGGTGGTGGGCACGGGGCCAAGCCTTCTCCCTCGGAGCCCCTCGCCCCAGTCCCGGGTGCAAAACGGCGAGAGGGCAGGTCGGCACGGAAAGAATCAAGGAAAGGTAGGCAGGCTTCACCTCTTCCCCACCTGGCAGGCGTCTCCTCCTCTCCCCTCTGCCGTGCGCGGCGTCCCGTCAAGGGGCTTCTTCGGAGTCATACTTAAAATCCTGGAGAATTTCACTGATTGCTTCGATGGTTTGAATTAGCCTGCGTGAGCAGGATGGAAACGATAAATAAAGCCGCATATGGAGCCGATTAGCTGCGCTCACCCTCCCCTCCCAGGCTCGGCGCTTGTTTATGAAATGCGGCGGGAGAGAAAGAGACTCTCGAGGTGGGGAGAAGCCAAGCGTGTAAGAAGAACCAGCACGCAGCCATCTGGGGAGAGGGGAAAGGGGGTGCGTGGACCTCCCTCCAAAGGGCCCCTCCGCCTTCTTCTGCATGGCCGGCCTGGTCGGTCAGCACTTGCACGCTCAGCCTCCCCTTCCCATGGCACAAGGGCCTGGGTTTGAAACAGAAGGGGTTCAAAGGGGCCACGTTCTCAGCTCTGTTTTAATACTTTCCGGCTGCGGGTCAGCACATCTGCGGATACGGATCCTGTGGATAAGAGAGTCCTACTGTCCGCAAGGACCAGCTTTCACTGGCACTATTCAGGCCTCCCCCAAACTCTGCTTTTTTGAGGCTTGTTATAAAGCTCGACCACCCTTCCGGACATGCCAAGGGCTGTTTCACTTACTTGTGTTTCAGCTCCCGAACCTCTTGGGGGTGGCTCTCCACCTCGGGATGGTCCTGGACGTTCTGCTTGGCCAGCTGCAGCTGCACTGTCTAGGGGGAAGACAAGACAAGAAGGAACACTCTGATGGAGGCAGTGCGGTGCAGTGGTTACAGTGTCTGGTGACCACTGCAGAAAGCAGCCACAGTCATGAACTCAGCCTAACATATATTGCAAGACTATTGCAAGTATCTGTCTGTCTGTGTGTCTATCTATTCCTTCCTTCCTTCCTTCCTTCCTTCCTTCCTTCCTTCCTTCCTTCCTTCCTTATCTATCTATCTATCTATCTATCTATCTATCTATCTATCTATCTATCTATCTTCTATCTATCTATCTATCTATCTATCTATCTATCTATCTATCTATCTATCTATCTATCTATCTATCTATCTATCTATCTATCTATCTATCTATCTATCTATCTATCTATCATCAGCTCCTTCCTCTTTCTCTCTAGACAGTTTATGACATAATTCTGCAAATAATACTTGCTACACCCAAAATTTAAAACTATAACTACTAATGTTACGTGTTATTATTAGTTACTTGTAACTTGTAACTCATTACCTACCATCTCTCAGCCTTACGTACATCGCAAGGCGGCGGCTGTAAGCCAAGTAACTCCTTATGACTTGTCACAATGTGAATTTTCAGTAGAACTGCAGGTTACATTAGTTGTCATTATTATATATCTTTGCCACTACTTACTTATAACGCTAAAAGTAACTACTGACTTTGAAGCTCTGGGCAACATGTTTGGGAAGCAAGGCAGAGAGAAAAGACAGCTACGTATGCAAACAGTCTGAGTAGAAAATCAAATTTTGATGGGGGATACAGTAAGACGCCTGTATTTGAGGGAGACAGGTTCCGAGCCTCCCTGTGGATACTAAAAAACGTGGATTTTATTGAACCCTATTTTAAGAGTGAACACTTAACAAAGCATGGTCTCTGGCCCCTTCTAGTGGCCAGTTCCAGTCACTCCATCTTTAGAAATATAGATTTCTGGGAAATTTATTGTAATATTTTCCAGCCGTGGATACATGAATCAGCGGATACGGATCCCGCGGATACAGGGCTCCTACCGTACAATAAACAAATGGTTGGAAAGTTGGATTTTCTCCTCCACTCACCAGCTCGAGTTTCTCCTTTTCTTTCTCCTGGATGCGTCCCAAGTGATGAGCGAGATCCGGGCGCCCATGGGGTCCCTCCAGTTTCCCCTTGATTTGCAGGATCTCCCGCGAGATCCCGTTGAACCCAACCGTGATCTCATGCACCAGCTGCCGGTAACGGATGAAGTCATAGTCTGGGCCGCTTCTGAGGTACGCCCGGTGGCCCCTGTGGAAACCGTGTGGAGGGTAACGGGTTCAAGAGAACATGAAAAATGATCCAATTTTTAATTTGAACCGTGTCTGGTCTACACCTAACTTTTAAAACATGGTTGGACCACAACACCCATAGCTCCCGGCAAGCAAGGGTGGGAACGGCTGGAAGAGAAGAGCTGTGCCCCCCCAAATGCCTTGGGACAATAGGTCCCATCCTGCCTGCGAGTCAACCAGCGAACCATGAGCATTAGAGTCCAGAAACACCCCTCCTTTTTTTCCTGGGGAAAAACCTTGTTTTTAACAAGGACTCGAACTCGGAACCCAGAGCCCCATAAACCTCGACTGGGAGGCAGCCTTCGACGAGGTCGGCCAAGAGGATCGTGTTCCCCTCCTCCCCCACCTTGCGGCAATCTTGCGCAGGATCAGGCCAGGATTTCAAAATGCATTATTGAATTAGCAATGGTTCCCTCTCTTGGGAGGGGCTCTCCAGGAAGGGGGGCTGGGACCCCCATCCCCTGGAGCGCCAAAGGACCCGGCCAAGCTGGGCCCGGTGCGTTTGAGTTTTCAACCACGAGAAGTCAATTATACACGCACACAAGCGCATACAGATATGTCCCCCACCCGCTTCGGCCCATCGCCGTTTGCTCTGCAAATAGAACACAGGTGTTTGGAGTTTGTGTGAACCGTTTTCGCTCTTCTGGAGTTCATTAGGCACCCGAATCCCAGGAAAACCTCCCCGGGTGGGGGGTAGAGAGTTGGACAGGCAGGGCCTCCTGGTGGGCCCCCTTTCCAGTTATGGCACACAAATGCACCGGGCATATTGGGGGGGGGGGAAGAAGGGAAGGAATCACACAACCTTGTTGTGCCGTTCACGAACGAACCACAAAATTCAAAGTTCTGCCCCTCTGGTGGTCTCAGGAGGGCAAACACCCCAGGGATCCGCTCCTGGAGGGCCGCCTTGTCCGGGCATCTTGGCTGGGCCACCCATGCTGGGTGGGGGGAGATTACGATCATTGGCCTTTCCTGGCACTCCGGCAAAGGGCGTTTCAGAGACAGACTGCCACTGAATGCTGGCTTCCGACACTTACTCTTCAAGGAGGTGGTACGCTTCCACACGCTCGCTCTGCAGGGCATAGAACCGGCGCACCAGGGCCTGGACGTTGTCCTTGAACTGCAAAAGGAGGAAGAACCGATCACAAACCCTGCAAGAGTCCCGGGAGCTTAGCTTTCAAGGGGTCATTAAGAGCCAGGACCCTTACAAAAGACCCGCCTTTCCATTGTCGATAGGATCCGATGCGGCAGCTTGCATTTTGGGAACCTCCTTACTGTACGAGGCGTGTGTGTGTGTGTGAGACGAGTGGAATATCAGTGGGCACTGCTTTACCCGAGCGGCTCTAACCACTCTTCCGCATGGCCTCTGAGGATCACATCATCGGCTCAGCCCTGCTCCATGGCCATCCCTTTTGGGCCACCGCTGGCTACGCAAATGGCGATAACGGGAAGGAGACCTCCCCCGCCACCGCTGCCCCCAAACCATGGGGTAAAAGGCCCGCCCCTTTGCGGTGTGTGGGCCGACACCAAGGGCAGAACCTCCAGCTCGTGGGGCACTCTACCTCCGAGGATCACGCATCGCAAGAACTTTCCAGCGGGGCCCCCTTTGAAGCCTCATTTGGGCCGCAGTGCCCCGGCACCGCTGACGGGTCCCTCTCCCTCCCAGCCGTCCAAACCCCTAGAACAGCTGGATCTTCGAACTCGGCACCTCAGGAAAGCAGCCTTCCGGAGAAATGCTGTCTTCCCCCACCCCCCTGCCTCCTGGGCCAAGCCGGGCGGGTGCACGGTGCCAAATGGCACCCTCCCGCAGGGCCCTCGCTTTCCCCCTAAACCCAGACCCCCCCATCCCTCCCTGTGTGAGGGACGGCCCTTCTCGATGCCGGGATGACTTCCTGACCTCGCAAACAGACGGTCTGGTTTCCAAAACACCCCGGGAGCCCCGTTTTTGGCACCAGCGCCCTGGCGCACACCTCGTCCTGTTCCAAAGCTGGAAGGGAGAGGCGCTGGGAAGCCGGGGGAAGGAAGAAAGGGGGTCTTGTGGGGCCGATCCCCCACCGGCGGCGTGTGGGGCAGCCAGTTCTCGTCTATTTCACCCCATTAAAACTGACAACTTCCATGTGGTTTCCAGCCCTCGGCGGACGAGCTCCCAAGCGGCGGGCCTGGGCGCTTCTTTCCTTGTGGAACGAGAGCGCCCTGGGGCAAGGGGGAAAGATCCTCCACTCAAAATTCCTGCTTTGAGTGATTTTTCCTTATTTCTTATTTATCTATACATTTCTCAAGATTTATACACCCACCTCACCCCACCCCACTAGTGCAAGGCAGGACTTTGCACAGTTTATGACACAGTTTTCTGGACCTGTTTCCCCCACACATTTAACCTAAAAATAATCTTTTGAAGATGACAACACCCATCATCCCCCCCAAAGAAATGCTGCTCAAGGTGGATGATGGGAGGTGCAGTCTCCCCTGCCGCCTCTGAAGGGGCAACAGGCAGTTAGGGGAGGGTTGCCCTTCCTATCCCAATTCCATAGACAGGAATCGTTGCTTCTTTTGACTACAACGCCCATCATCCCCTCCCCAGGAAGCTTATGGGATGCTGGGATCCCTTCTTTCCCAACACCTCCCCCCCTTTTTTCGGTAATGTCCTCTTAGCTTCTCCCCTTAAAAAGTAACTTTTTACAACCCTCCCTCTGGCTTAGATCATAAAGTAAAAAATAATAAATTAATTTGGAAATAACCCATACATTCCTATTAAATTCCTTAAAAGGACGTCGGGCGCCCCTCGTGGCCTTTTCTGGTATTGCCGCGCAAGCGCAACCCGCAGAGGTATTTTAACGCTTCTTAAAGTTGATTTTTCACCCTTCTCTTTTTTCTTCCTTTTTTTTTTCACTTGGCTGCGCTTGCCTGGCAGCTTTTTCCCCTTTCCTTGGCCAGGAGGAGCGAAAAACCCTCAAACCCCCTGCAAAGAGCGAGAAATTAAGACTTTTCCTTATTTGATTTTGGACTGCAACACCCCTGATCCGCAGAACGAACCCCCAAAAGGAAACTTTGCAAAACTTTGCGCCCATTGCAAAAAACACAACAAAACAGCACCAAAAAAAAGACTTGCTCACCATTGCACCACGTGGAAGTGCGCAGGCGCTACACCACAGAGATAGGAATATAGTAGAGGCGCCCCTTCCTTGGTCTGAAGACGTCATTTCCTGGTTCGCTGGAGGGAGCCATTTAAAAATTGCCTCTTAGTTCATTTATTTTAAATATTTTTACTTCGCCTTTCTGCTTAGAAAAGGACCCTGAGGTGGCTTACAGAATTTCAAGACAACAGTTGGGAACAAAATCAGGAGTCTACAACAGTGGGGTGCCCCATTAAATAATAAAAAGCGAGGAAGGGTTGGAGAGATGCTCCCTCCAAAATCAACACATGGATGCAGGAGGGTGAGGTGGCATCAGGCACTGGTCTAAAGGGCCTGCTTTGGGCACATCCCGAGAAAGCAAGATTCCCTGGAAAAAACTATGATGCTGGGAATGGCTGAAGGTAGCAGGAAAAGAGGAAGACCCAATGCAAGATGGACGGACTCCCTAAAAGATCCACGGCTTTTGAGTTTGCAAGTGCACAGCAGAGGTGTTAGGGACCAGACCTTTTGGAGAGCACTCCTCCGTAGGGTCACTCATGAGTCGGAGGCAACTCGAGGGCTGGGACGGTGCAAAATGAAACAAGAGATAGTGCTGGAACATGAGGGCAGAGGGAAAAATAAGGGGCATTCATTCAATGATACTTGTATGCTGCCCAATTTAGTGACAAGCACGAATCAGGGCAGTTAACCATAAAAGAAACATCTCAGTGCAGTGGTGCCTCACTAGACGATTATGTCACAAAATGGTTAATTCGCAAGGTGATGGTTTTTTGCAATCATTATAATGCTTCACAAAACGGTTTCCCCTATGGGCGATTTTCGCTAGATGATGTTTCGGTCCGTGCTTTGCAAGATGATTTTTTGGGGGATGGTTTTTCGCAAGACGACGATTTTGACAGCTGGGTCCGCTCTTCGCAAAATGTTTTTTTTTAAAGGGATGGTTTTTCGCAAGACAGCGTTTTTGACAGCTGGGTCCGCGCTTCGCAGAACGGTTTTCCTATGGGCGATTTTCGCAAGACGACGATTTCCGCCCCATTGGAACGCATTAAATAGATTTCAATGCATTCCAAAGGGGAACTGCATTTCGCAAGATGTTTTCACAAGACAGCGATTTTCACGGAATGAATTAACATCGTCTTGCAAGGCACCACTGTATACCCAACAGCCCAAATAACCTTCAACCAAGCAAATAAATTTGGGGGGGGGGAGGGAAGTCACTTCTCTCATACTCACCTGGAAGAATGAAAGCTAAAGTTGCAAAAAGTAAAATTGCTCAATCTTAACTTGATGCAAATGTCTGAGGAGCCCTTCTTGATTCTTTTATTTTTATTTTTAAGAAGAGGGTCAAAAACGCAGAACAGTTCCAAGAAATCTTATGCTCTGCACAAGAGGGAAAAATTCTAATGTTGTGTTGGAACCAACAACCTCCAACCTCATGAGTCAGTCTATTTTTACAGTCTATATCTCCCACTTCCTAAGCCAACCTCTCACTTCTGGTTTGCAGTCCAGCTCTTGGCTGCCCTCTATGGGCTGGACAGACTCATGGCAACACATCTCTCCCAAAAAAGGTGATCCAACTGAACACGTGTGCGCAAGAAGCTGTAGAGCCACCGCTTTCCACGTCCAAGAACCGGCCAGATAGTGCATGGGCTGCCACTCCCACTTGTCACGCTGACTGGGGGTGATGGGAAATGTAGTCAGCCCATCTCAAGAGAGACAAGCCTCGTGGTGCACGGCTGTGATCTCGAAGCACATTCAGCCATCCGAGCTTCTTTCGAAATTACAATACTCGACCTGTCTGACCACCAGCCTTGCGGGCTGGGAATAATGGGGTTTGTAGTCCAGACATACCTAAGGGGATCAAAGTTTGAGAGAACCACTATCCTGACCACAGCTTTCTGGTCTGAAGTGGCCAATCAGATAATTAAATGCAAAACTCCAGGTAGGCTGCGCCTCATGCTGGAAGTAACAGGTAGTGAGTGGCCATGGGTAGCCTCACCCTCCCTAAGTTTGTCTAGTCCCTTTTAAAAAGGGCAGAATGGAACAATGGAACTCACTGCCCCAAGATGTAAAGGCCACCACCTGAAGAGTTGTACCAGCCAACATTTTGCGAGATGTCGACAGTTAGCTACAGCCTGCTTGATTACTGTAATGGGCACTCCATTGGGCCACCCTTGGAGGCGGTTCACAAACTCCAGCTGGTCCAAAATGCAACAGCCAGACAGTCAATGGGAACCAGTTATAGGGAGCATCTAACACCCAATAACTATACCGGCTACCAGTCCGTTTCCAGATCCAATTCAAAGTGCTGGTCATTGCCTATAAAGCCCTAAACATGGTTCAGCTCCAGGCTCTCTGGAGGATATTATCTCCACATACGAGTCCTCTTGGCCCTTAAGATTGTCACAGCCGATGGAGACACAGGAGAGGGCCTTCTCTATGGGTGCCCTCAGGTGATGGAATGCTCTCCCTCAGCAGATCCGGCTGGCCCCCTCCCTTCCATCTTTCCACCGACAGCTGAAGACCCACCCTTTTTTTTCAGGCAGACTTTTGACTTTAATAGACAACTTTCCAAGTGAATCCAAGGTTGATTTCCAACTTCGAAGTTCTGCCCCTTTGGTGGTCTCAGGAGGGCGAAGTCAGTTGGCTTCCAACGTTAATAATGCTTTTATTCACTTGTTGCATTTCCATAACCCTGATAAATTCAAAACCCCAATACCTCCTTGGCTGCTAAGAACTATTCTCATATTGGTACAAACACTTCCAAGAACACACAAGGCTTTAAAACTGAGCCATCTATCTCTCGTCACTAAAAACACCCCCTTGATTCAACGGGACTCGGAAGACCTGGCCCTCCCATGCCATCAGAGCCCATGGAAAAACTGAGAGCCGAAAACACTCTGCTTTTGGTGGCACCGTGAGTTTTATTCTAGAGGAAAAGGAAAAATCCCCCCTTCAGAGAACAGGAGATGGAGCGAGTTTTTCCCTCCAACGGAATGAAGCCCAGGGGAAGAAAGCAGAAAAGCCGCCTCCTGGGGATCTGGCTGCGGTCTTTACTTCAGCTTCTTCTTCGGACGGAGGTTGTTGGTGTGGCCGCACTTCTTCTTCCGGCAGTTCGCAGCCCGAGGATGCAGGCGGGCGTAGCACCTGGAGGGCAATGAAAGGCAGAGAAGCCGGGGAATTTACCAAAAACCCATTGGCTGCGTGGAACAAATGGCAATGACCAGGGACGTCCCCATAAGTTGTTGACTCTCATGGAGGGGGGTGTCTTATTTTATTTATTGGATTTCTATTCCACCCATCTAGACCAAAGGTCTACTCTGGGGGTCGACTGCAGGGCCCCTTGTCCCCAGCTCGCGCGGCCCTTCTAGTGGGGGGAAGTGTAGTCCGGCCCTCATGCAAAGACGCACACCAAGTCCTTACGGTGCCTGTGCGTTTAGATCCGATGTTCCCCAACAAAAGCGGCCTACGTGGTCTTTTCGGGAATATTCCCAGCTACTTCTGGAATTGTTATTTCACTTAACGCTGGCAGTTTTCCTGTCCCTTCTCAGATAACGCAAAAACGTGCAAACGGGTAACGGGTCTCTCTCAGAAAAGCAGATGGGGTACAACTTCTTAGTCATTTACAGACTGTAAAGCTACAAAAAGAATTTAGTAACTCCACTCCTTTTCTTCCCTAACGCATGGACGGCACCTCCCACCTTGACGTACTTGGTCTCAAGTAATCCTGTAATGACTGAATCTTCGCAAGGAATTCTGCACTATGATTTCTACCACCAGAGATTTAGCTGGCCTGGCGCTGTGCTCCCTCCCTCCTTTCAGCCGGGGCTCCTTCTTCCCACCCCAGCCATGCTTACTTGCGGCAGATCATCTTCTCACAGTTGTACTTCTGGGCGAGCTTGAGAAGGGATGGCTCAATGATCCCTCCGCGAAGACGCAGGACCAAGTGCAGAGTGGATTCTTTAAGGGAGGGTGGGGAACGTTGAAGGAGGGGAAAAACAGGGTAAGCTGCAAGAATGCTTTAAAAAGAAGCAGGGAGACCAGCAGAAAAACCACATCTTTTCACATCACACAGGAAACGCTCAATAGCCCGGCAAAACAAACAAAAACCGAATATGAATAGCACCACATGGAAAAATAGAGGGGATACACACTTCCTCTCTGCTTAGCTGAAATCAGTAGATTCGAATCTGCAAGCATTCACACTGAAAGAACTGTCAGTGGTAAAAGTTTAATTCAATTAATCTCTTGGGATTTTAATGTCTCTAACTTCTGATGACCCAGATTTTTAGGGCTGATTGTTAGGTCTGTCACCATCCTGTGTGATCTTACAGATTTATTTTAGGCTGAGGTTTGGTCTGCTTTTTTGTTTAATGTCTTGGGTACGGTGCGTTAGTGAATCTTTAAGTTTGCGTTGTGGAAGCTTTTATTGTACGCTGCCCAGAGCAGTCTCCCCCACAGGGTGAAAACTCAATTCAGTCATTAAACAAATGAGACAAACAATCCAATATGTTGCCACGTACCTTTCTGGATGTTGTAGTCGGAAAGGGTGCGCCCATCTTCCAGCTGCTTCCCAGCAAAGATCAGACGCTGCTGGTCAGGAGGGATACCTGCCAGGGAAGAGGTTTCGCACAGGGGTCAGGGAGAGTGTTCGGGATGAATCACAGAGGCAACAGCCAAACAGAAAACGTCCCGCTTTCCCTTGCAGGATGAGAAAGGGGGAAAGAGTAGACCTTTGGTCTAGATGGGCGGGGTATAAATCTAATAAAATGAATAAATAATAAAGCAGATACGTCGTTCCTAACTGTCATCACACACTCTGGGCTCCCCTAGTTTGGGAGACAGCCTAAATGGAAGCCAAGCCCATTCGGACGAAGCCAGAGAGAGGACGGCTATCAGAAAACTGAACGCCCCCCCCCATGTCAGAATCCACTGTTAATTTGGATGGAGAGCACCCTTCCAAGACAGAGGGTTCTGAACGCTTGGGGGGGGGGACAGCCCAGCCCAGGCTCTCGTCCAGCCCGGGCTGCCCTGGGGGACTAACCCACCTTCTTTGTCCTGAATTTTGGCCTTGACGTTCTCGATGGTGTCGCTGGGCTCCACCTCAAGGGTGATGGTCTTGCCCGTCAAGGTTTTCACAAAGATCTGCATGGCGGCAGCCGGGTGTCACCTAGAGAGCGGGCAAAAGCGGGAGACGTGAGAAAGAGGATTGTGTCCATTCTCTAGACGGGGAAAGCTGAGGCCAACGGGTTTGTTTAAGGCCACTTTATGGCTGATATTAAAAGTGAGACTTTCCACTGTCACGATTACAGTGGAGTTGGAAGAGGCCTATAAGGCGGTTGAGGATGACCCCCCCAGCACACACACTGTTAGCAAAAAAGGACCTAATGTCACAGGAAGAAACTAAAATTGAGTTGTGTCCGATGATCTGATAAAACTTATGCCTCTTTTCTCTTAAAAAAAAACAGGCAGGAGACCCTATGCAACCATATAATATTGCTCATTGCTGGTCATCCAATCCCTTAACCCCCATCCATGGCAGATTGGGGGAACAAGCAAAAAACAAAATCGTAATATGATTTATAGCAAAAAGGTTTCAACTTTCATACATGCAATGGTCAAACTATACATACATACATACACATATATAAAATATATATAAGGCTCATGAGACTGATTTACAAGCAGAAATATTTAATGGAAGCACAGAAAGCCGGAAGGTTTTGCAAAAAAGATCTGTCAAATCGCCCGTGTTACCACAGTCGCGCAAACCCTTCCTCAGCCTGCCCAACAAACCTGGGACTAAGGATTACAACCCCCATTATCCACCAGCAAGAAAATGGGGAGGGGAAAGACATGCTGCCTGAGGAGGATGGGACTCGTAGTCCGGCCGCCTCTTCAAGGGCCCACAGGAGGCAAAGGGAGGGCTGCCCTTCTAGAGTCCGGAATTGTTGATCGCTTGACTACACTGCCCATCATCCCCGACCAGGAGGCTGGCGGATGCTGGAGTTTGTCGTCCCCCCCAAGAAAAGGAACGTCTCCAGTTTCTAAAAATTATATTTAGACTTATAAAAAAACACACGTATTGCATTAGTAGAATTAATTAATGAGATCTAATACGTAATTATTTTTAATTATATTTATGCCTCCCCACAGAAAGGCACGTCGTTCAAGCCGCCCCTTCCCCCAAGAAAGAACGAGAAAAGGACCCAGGAGTCCGAGAAAAGCCGCCCCCCCTCCACGCACCCTCCACGCGCCTCCTGTTGCCTCTCCTCAGCAAACGGAAAGAGAACGCGCCTCCGCTCCGGAAGCGGAAACCCTCTCCTCGCTTCCGAACCCTTCTCCTGGTGGCCCCGCCCATCGCCTACCAGCGCCTCCCAGGCCGCCGCGTTGCCATAGCGACAGCGGTCCCCCCTCCCTTCTGCGGGCATGTACGAGCCAAGCCCCTCCCACTCCCCCAAGAACGTCACGCCAGGGCTTGAGAGACCGTAGAGATGAAACTGAAAGAGGGAACACAGCCTACCCTACAGTATTCATCTCTGGGTGGGGGAATGGCGGGTTCACTTGTTGTTTGTTGTCGTTTAGTCGTGTCTCACTCTTTGTGACCCCATGGACCAGAGCCCGCCAGGCCCTCCTGTCTTCCACTGCCTCCCGGAGTTGGGTCAAATTCCTGTTGGTAGCTTCGATGACACTGTCCAACCATCTCATCCTCCCCTTATTGGAGAGGAAGTAGGGAGCTAAAAATCATATATACATATATATATACTGTATATATATGCCAATATAGATCTATAATATATAAATATATGCTTTTAGATATACTATCTGCTTGGGCTCCACAGCCGCATTTTGGGCTGCTGCTCCTCAGCCCCCTCCATCCTAGAAAAGCCCTCCCCTCCGAGCTTGCAGGGGTGTCCAGAGGGTCTCTCCCCCATCATCATCATCATCCCTCAGGACTTCCAACAGGAAGGGAAGGGCAGCCACACAGCCACCCTGCAGGGTTGTTGTAGGCTCAGGCTCCCAAAGACATCCTTCCCCGTCTCCCACATTATATGACCGCAGGATACCTGACCCCCGTGCATGGGGGGGAGTGGGAGGGTGTCCCCACTGTATGGACAAAAACAGTAAAGCCAAACCCGAGTAATCTGTCCCCTGACCAGAAGAGCGCCCAGTGCTATCCCTCTGACACAGCTATCAAGACCTGGACCACAAACACTTAGTATGCAATTAAAACCCATTGAAAAAATTAAGAGCCAAACACACTCCGTTCAGGACACTGGGAGTTTTTATTCTACAGCAAAAGGGAAAAAAGTCCCCTCAGAGGACAGGTGACGGAGTGCCTCTCATTGTGACAACGCCAAAACATGGGGAGGAAGGAGGGAAAGAAAGACCGAGATTCGGACGCATTCCTTCACTTCAGCTTCTTCTTCGGGCGCAAGTTATTCGTGTGGCCGCATTTCTTCTTGCGGCAGTTCACAGCCCGGGGGTGCAGGCGGGCGTAACATCTGGAAGGGAATAAAAAGGCAGAGCCGTGAGAGCCTGAGGGCTTCACTTTTCTTCCGCTGGCCCCTGCTTCTAGCAGTCCCAAGTGTCCTATGACGCTCTTTCTCATTCTGCTGACTGGGAAGGACTGGTACCATTGAAAAAGAATCCTATGGTGAAGAACCTGCAGTTCTAGAAAGTGAAGTGAAAGCTGCTCAGAAAGCACTGGGAAGAAATAATTCACCTGGGAGATGGGACAGTGATAGAACTGTTTCAAGTCACAGCGACAATCGGTCAAAATCCTAAGAAGTATATGTCAACAAATACAAGAAACAAAACAGGTTGGAAATGTTCACTGTACATTTCAGTTCCAAAAAGCTGCCTAGAACTGAGTTAATCCACACTTTCTATCCCCTAGAGCCCAGACTGCCTCTCTCACACCCTGACCCACTTTGTTTCAAGAATACATGGTGATGAAACCTTTGCAAGGAATCCTACACTATTGATTTTGACTGCGCTTTGCTCTCCACCACACCAAAGCACCTTCTTCCCATCCCCTGGGCTGACCCAGCAATGCTTACTTGCGGCAAATCATCTTCTCGCAGTTGTACTTCTGGGCGAGCTGGCGCAGAGAGGGCTCAATGATCCCTCCACGGAGACGCAGCACCAAGTGTAGAGTAGATTCTGTACAGGAGGATGTGGGGGAGGGGGGAGGAAACAGAAGCTGGTTGATCTGCAGTATGGTCTAAAGGTTTAAATAACCAGGGAGACCAGCTCGTTTCAAAATGCTATGATATTTTGCCTCCCTCCTACTTTCTTTGCTTCTTTCTTTTATTTTCTTTTGATTTCATTTAATTTTTTACCTTCTTATACCACACCATCTGGTCTGGGGCCACACCGTCGGGTATACAACAAAGGACAAAACGCAGTTCACAATCATAAAATACCAACAGAGCAAACATACGGAATCACAAAATAAAATAAACCAGATCAACTGTCAGCTATCGTTCACTGACACAATGAGACAGACTAACGCTACGTGACTACTTCTTTGGAAACTAGATCACGTGACGCCAAGGGGGGGGTCTTAGCTTCGGACTCCTTTATGCCGCAGGGAGGGTCTCCCCATTTCAGCACCATACCTTTCTGGATGTTGTAGTCGGAAAGGGTGCGCCCATCTTCCAGCTGCTTCCCAGCAAAGATCAGGCGCTGCTGGTGAGGAGGGATACCTGCCGGGGAAGAGGTTTTGCACATGGGTCAGGAAGAGTGTTCGGGATGAATCAGAGAGGCAACAGCCAAACAGAAAACATCCCGCTTTCCCTTGCAGGATGAGAAAGCGGGAAAGAGTAGACCTTTGGTCTAGATGGGCGGGGTATAAATCTAATAAAAATGAATAAATAATAAAGCAGACACGTTGTTCCTAACTGTCATCACACACTCTGGGCTCCCCTAGTTTGGTGATACAAATGGAAGCCAAGCCCATTCAGACGAAGCCAGAAAGTGGGTGACTATTATAAAACTGCACATCCCCCCATGTCAGAATCCACTGTTCATTTGGATGGAGAACACCCTTCCAAGACAGAGGGTTCTGAGCGCTTGGGGGGAGACGGCCTCTGTCCAGCCTTGGGGGACTAACCCACCTTCTTTGTCCTGAATTTTGGCCTTGACGTTCTCGATGGTGTCGCTGGGCTCCACCTCGAGAGTGATGGTCTTGCCTGTCAAGGTTTTCACAAAGATCTGCATGGCGGCAGCTGGGTGTCTCCTAGAGAGCGGGCAAAAGCAGGAGATGTGAGAAAGAGAATTGTGTTCATTCTGTAGATGGGGAAAGCTGAGGCCAACGGGTTTGTTTAAGGCCATTTTATGGCTGATATTAAAAGCAAGACTTCGCTCGCCCATGATAAACTCTCTTCCTGCTGGCAAAAAGGCACAGGATGCTGCAGCAGTAGCCAGGAAATGAATTACAACCAATTATCTGATGGAATATCTCTCCCCTTTTCTGGAGAAAAATGCAAAAGACCCTAAGCAAACATAGAAAACTGCATACCAAATTTGCATAAATCTTCTGAGCCTCATCCATAGCTCAGAATCTCTATCTTAGAATGTTAAAGATGGCAAAAATAAATTACAGAAGAGTTTCAAATTTCATATATGCAGTGGGCGAAGAAGAGTATATGTATATAAAATACACTATATGTATTTCTATCTCTAACACTTCTTTAAACAGAAATTATACAAAACTTCATTCAAGGCTTTCTGGATCTGTCTGAAAGGTACAGATAATCACTTATCTGCCCCACCCTGAGCTGCCTGGATTGGGACTACGCCACGCATCATCCACCAGGCTGCTGGTTAGAGGGGGACAATGGGAGTTGGAGTACCAATGGATCTGAAGGGTCTCGGGTAGTTAAAAGGAGGCTGCTCTTTCTATCCGGACTACAATGCCTATCATCACCCCCCAGGAGGTTTGGTGGATGTCGGGGTTTGTATTGCCAAAAAAAGGGAAAGAAAAGAAAGGAAGAGTCTCTCCACTTAGAAACTTAAACCTCCTCATATAAAAGGAGGCGTCCTAGGCCGCCCCTCCATAAAAGGACCCAGGAGTCCGAGAGAGGGCACTTCCCCCCCCAACACCCACCCTCCAGACACCTCCTGAAGCCCCGATGCCGGTAAACGGAAAGAGAGAGCGCTTCCCCGCCGGAAGCGGAAACGCGGCCCCCGCTTCCTTCTCCTGGTGGCCCCGCCCACCGACTGCCAGCGCCCCCCGCGTCGCCATAGCGACGGCGGCCCCCCTCCCTTCCGCAGGCGTCGCCGCGCATGTACTAGCCAAGCCCCTCCCACTCCCCCAAGAAAGTCATGCAAGGGCTTGAAAGACCGTAGAGATAAACTGAAAGAGGGAACACATCCTATTCATCTCTGGATGGGGGGATTGAGGGTTTACTTGTAACCTCCCCTATTGGAAAGGAGGGAGCTAAAAATCATACTGTACAGTACAGTATATGCTTTGGCTCCACAAAAATGTTTTGTTTAAAATTTATGTATTTATTTGTCCCTTTAAAGTGTTACTTTCTTTCAAATGCATTTAAAATATTTGTTTATTTATTCATTTAAAAGATGTTTCTTTCTTTCTGTTTGTCTAAAATCTATTTATTTATGTGTTTATTTTTTTTAAAAAATATGTTTTTGTGTCTCGGTCTGTTTAGAAAGGGACCCAGGGCGGTGCAACAGCATCGAAAGACCCTATTTAAAGGTCCCAGCCCTTAAATAAGCTCCCCGGTGCTTTCCCATTTAGAATTTATTCCTTCCTTTTGCAGATTTTCCCCACAGGGGCCCATCAGGCGCCAGGCCCTCCTCTCCCAAGATCACAAACCCACAACGACAACCATCAAATAAGGTGCAAACCACCATCCGGGAAAAAATCACAAAACCCATCATAGACGAGATGCCTCTCGAAGGTCTCCTCGTTGTGGGTTTTCAATGTGTACATGTGTGTGTATATATTCGTGTGTATTTGTGCTTTCTTTTCGTCAGGACCGTTGAAGGAGATGAAGACAGTCCCTGCTTTGACCCCCGACTGCTCCCCATGGAGGATGGCGGAACAGTCAGATCCTCCACACCACAAGGCAGTCTATCTGGGAAGACCCACTTCGGGCCGAGCGCCGAAGGAGGCCGTCAAGCCTTCAGATCTCGGTTTTCTGGAAAGCCTTTATTTACCATGTTCTCCAGAAGAGAGCGCTCGCAGTCAGCTTGTCTTCTCTCCTTCAAACGCAAAGGGTGGAATTAGAAATATATGCATTTTTCCCCTCTTCCAACCGTCTTGGAAGAAAGTTTTCTGTAACTAGAGGGGGAGAAAGTTCTTGTTCACACACACACACACACACACACACACACACCCAAGCCTGCACCTCTAAACAGAGAAAAAAAACGGCCCGCTTTTTCTGGGATTTTTAATATTGCACCCATTTCAAGTGTTTGGTGGATTCATCATCTGGTAAATTTTTAAAAAATTAAACCACTGACAGCTGAAACAAACAGAAAAGTCGCCTGTGTGTGGTCTGCCATTCCTGGAAATGTCCTCTTTATGGGCCTTCAAGTTGCACCAAAATTAATCGGGTTTTCACAGCCAGCCAAGCATTCGAGAGGCCACTTTCTGTGGCCAAATGGGGTGGGGTCTTTGTAAGGAGCAGAAGGGAAGAGATATGGGCTCTTTTCTCTCTCCTCTCATAACAAGCCAATCTTGCATGTGAAACAGGTGTCCCTCAAAGGATACAGGTTGGAAAAGTGACTCTGGGGAGGACTACATGTCCCAGAATTCCCACCTGCCCAGCTTGGCCCTGGCTCTGGAACCACCGTCTAGTTCTGCAGCCCCATCCGAGCTCTGTGACCGCGGAGCGATTCACTGTTCCGCTACAGTTAATGGTCCCCGTTTTCATGGTGAATGGTGGGAGAGACAAAAGGCCGTGATTTTAAGCCGTTGCAAATCCACCCCCCTGGTTTCCATCTCCTTTTAGGCCAGCACTCCAGTGCCCAAATTCTGCCTTTAACCGGAGTGAAGAAGGATTCGCGGAGGGGTCTGTCCCTCGTTGTTCGTCCAAACCCACTAAATTCTGCCTTTAACAGGATTCACAGAGGGGTCTGTCCCTCGTTATTCGTCCAAACCCACCACAAAAATCAATTTTTGAGGTTTTGCCGAAATTTGTTCTCTCTCAAATCTTCGTCCTCTCTTATTTGTATCATGCTCTCTGGCCTCCAGTGAGACATCAGTTTCCGATTAGGCTTCTTGCTGGCCCTTTTCTGGTGTGCACATTGGGCCTGCCTGGCCTGGCCTCTCTGAATTTTGGAACAGTTTTGTTCCAAAATAGTCAATAACAGAAAAGGAACACGTTGACCGCTGTGAGGGAAAAAAGGGGTGAAAACATGTTTGCACGATTTGTCGGGTTTGCAAAGAGGGAGGGAGGGAAGGACAGAAAGCAAGAAAGATCCGGGAGAAGCAAGCGGGCTGTACGGTGTAGTGGTTAGATTCCTCAGCTGGGATTTCGGTAGTTCCTGATTCAAATCCTCAGTGACTCAGATAACTCATTGGCGGATCTCAAACTCTGGAAGGACTACCTTACAGGGTGGTTGTGTGGAGAAAAGGAGAGAGCCTTCCGAACCACCATGAGCTCCGTGGAAAATGTATGACTGTCCTTGTTTATAAGAATTACAATTAAATGTTGCAACAGAAGTTCACCAGGTGAAGCATACCTGAGAAATGCAGGAAAGCCCACACTCATGGTCCTGGATACAGTGTGTGTATGTTTATTGTGGATCTTTGTGGATGATTGTTCAATGCAGTGGGGGCTGGTGTCAATAAGGGCATCCATTCCTGTTTTTGCCCCGAACGTGACAGAACCTGGTCAAATTCCTTGATCCTTGTGTCGGAGCCTTTTGAATAGCGCCTGCAGAGTTTGGGCAACAACCCGGAGCAGTTGTCACTGCCGTCAGAGGAGTTGCCGGCTGGCCCTCGTTCAACCCACGTTGCTTTACGTCACCTGAAACTCTGGATTTAATGGCCTTAAAAACCTGATCCTCTCCAGAAATCCCAAAATCCTGTTCTTGGGGGATTCCCGGCTCTGCCTGGCCCATCCCTCAGGCCTGGCAGCTTGGCATTTCCCCCATGTTTTCTTGTTTCTTGTCATCCGCCGTCATGTCAGACCCTAAAAGGACTTTCGAGAGACGTGAGATGTTTCAGGAGGGGTTTTACTGCTTCCCCGTCCCCCGATGAGTTTTCATGACTGAGCTGAGATTCGAAACCAGGCCTCCTGAGCCCCATAATTTGCAAGATGACACCCCCCCTCCGTCACAGGGCTCCTTCCCTGTTCCTACTTTCTCTAATCTCTTGATTTATCTCCCAAATCTGAGGATTTACGAGCCCCGGCGTGCCAGATCTTGAAATCCAAAGGAATTCCTCCCCAGGCCTGAACAAGCCTTATTTGAAGACCTTTGCCTCTGCCTGGGTGGTGAGTGCCCCTCGCTCGCGAACCCCAGGAACCGCTGGAGAAGTCCAGGGGTGAGGTCTCCAGCTACAAAGACCAGGCTTCGGAGTTCGAATCCCCCACAGAACCGTCTCCTTGATCCAGTGGGTCCCTTCTGGCACTGCAGTTCTAAGATTACTGTATTATAATGGTTTATAAGCATTGGCAGAATTCTGGGTATCGGAGTGGCTCCTCCTGTTCTGGGTGGCAACAGGTTCGTGGGGATAGAAATTGCCTTTTACATCTTCCTGCTCAAGTCTGAGACTTGGCCCGTTTTCTCTGGCAAGCTCCGGCTGTTTTTGACTCCAACTCCCCATATCCCCGACCTTGGGGATTCTGGGAATTGTAGTTAAAATTTGATTTCTCTCTCCCCCCTCTCTCCACCCCATCTTTTGTTCTCTGATATTCTTTCTCGCCTTTCCCCTCATCGCCTGCCTCCTGTTCAGCATCGATTATCCGTGATTCCTTTAGTCTTCTCCCCCCCGAATCATTTCACCCTCTTCGTCCCGATGCTCAGGAGGAACAGGGTGGGAAGTTCCAGAGTTCTTTTGGGAACCAATTAACGCCGAAATAAATCATTGTACGCCCAGAAGACTTGGCCAGCAGCCCCTTGTGGAAGAAACATCTGTGGCTTTTTCTTGGAAAAGGAAACAATTGTAGCATGAATTCTTCAGAAGTAAATAGTTCAGCCTCCGCACTTGACTAAGAAAGAAAGAAAGAAAGAAAGAAAGAAAGAAAGAAAGAAAGAAAGAAAGAAAGAAAGAAAGAAAGAAAGAAAGAAAGAAAGAAAGAAAGAAAGAAAGAAAGAAAGAAAGAAAGAAAGAAAAGGAAGGAAGGAAAAGATTTCTAGGCTCCAAATTCATTTTGGTTTTATATTAGCAGACATCTGGATCTCTCTTCTTAGTTTGATTATGATCCCAACTCTTTAATCTGCATATTTGGTGCAGCACACACACACACACACACACACACACACTCTCACTCACTCACTCACACACAAACACACCAACTCCACTCAAGCTTTCCTATCCCATCTGAGTTTAGCTTGGAGTGAGAGGGGCCGAAGTTTCAGAGAGACTGTGATACGCTGTCGTTTCCAATCCTTACTGCGATGGGAATGGTTTTGGGTGCTTTTTGTTCTCGAGTGGGCAATCCAAAGCCATTGGCTTTACAAAAGACCCGCCCCGGCACAAGATGCTCACATGCAGACCAAGCAGGGCCTTACAGAGCACACGTCCTTAGAAGCTGAAAGTTCACGAGACATTAATACGGCAGGCGGGTCACAACTGAGCCATCGTGTTCACAAAGGAAACCTTGGTGATCTTTCCATGACCAAGGAAATTTGCACACTGCCAGAGGGGTAACAATCAGATGTTTTCAGCACCAAAGGAATTTCCTTTTCTAACGATGCATGGTATATAATGTTCCCATTTTCCTTTGCTCCTAGAGGCCAAAACCCATGTGGACGGCTTCTCTCATTCTCTACACTGACACCACTGCTCTCCCCTACACACCAGGAAATAGCAGTCTCCCCTAGTGGGTGCAGCTCAGCCTACCAACCTTCTAACATTTGCTTGCCCCATTCGAACAAGCCATTAATTAGCCATTGATTTGCAGACAGAGAAGGAAAGCAACTTAATTCAAGGCCACCGAGGCCAACTCCCTGCTCAAGGCTGGAACCCAGATTGGAAGAGAGGGTTGCGCCCAAGGTTGTCTGGGGTTGAAAATGAAGCATGCAAACAAGAAAGAAAAAAAGATTAGGACACACACATACTGTACAAAAATATAAAACAGGCTCTTTTAAAACATATGAAGAGCACAGTACTTTCCAGAGACCATGTTGTTAGAGGAAGATCGCTGTTTATGCAGCTCTCAAGGGGTGCATGTCAGCGGCAGATTTAATTGATATATAGGTATAATTGGTCAAAACCGGCTACTCTCTGTCTGACAGCAGAGCTACATCCCACCGTAATCTCCAGCTAAAGTAGGACACACACACACACCCCAGTATCGGCAGGGAATTGGTTCCGAACCCAGTGGATGCTGAAAACCGCAGATAATAGCAAACAGTACACATAGCATGGTAAAAGAAAAAAACTAAAAATATGTATTTTCACCATGTATTGCCAGAACTGGTCACTAGAGGGGGCGAGAGACCATACACAACCGTAATCTCCAGCTAAAGTAGGACACACACACACACCCCAGTATCGGCAGGGAATTGGTTCCGAACCCAGTGGATGCTGAAAACCGCAGATAATAGCAAACAGTACACATAGCATGGTAAAAGAAAAAAACTAAAAATATGTATTTTCACCATGTATTGCCAGAACTGGTCACTAGAGGGGGCCAGAGACCATACACAGCAAGGTGGCCGGTTCTGGTTAATATGCTCTGAAAATACATATTTCTAGGGATTTTTTTCCCTTTTAATATTTTCAGGACACGGATAAGTGGAACGGTGGATACAGGGGTCCTGCTGTATCTGCCACTTTTAATATTTTCAGGCCACGGATAAGTGGAACGGTGGATACAGGGCTCCTGCTGTATCTGCCGAATCTCTAGCAAGGTCTGTGAGCATTCTAGCATCCCGCTTGGAGGAAGTATCAGTTATAGAATGTTAATAAACGGTGCAAGTTCGGTGAAAGGAGGTGCTCCCGACCTGGCCTGACTGGGAGAAAACCCTTCGCGCAGGCCTGCGGGCAGTGTTTTGTTGTTGTTGTTGTTGTTGTTGTTGTTGTTTGGAAGGGTGGGCAGGGGAAGAATCCAGGGCAAAGAGGCCCTATGGTCGATAGCTAAAAGAAAGGGAGACGGATCAAATAAAGGGTGGGTGGAAAAGGAAGGGGGGAGGCAGAAGAGGAGGAGGGAGCATCTCAGGGAGAGGGCCAGGGAAGGAGAAAGGAGTAAGCAGAGAGCACAGTTTATGGGGTGTGGGATGATGAATAAAGGGGCGAGGAGGGCAAGGGAACCACAGGAAAGGAAGGGGACGAGGGAGGAAAGGATGTCACATGAGGTCAGGATTGGAGGATGGAAGGATGCACCTAAAACAAGGGCCAGGGAGGAGAAAAGGGGGCAGGAAGGAAGCCCCTTGGCACATCTGGGGTGTAGGAGGTGGGAAGGAAGCCCTTCTCTTATCCATCAGTGAGATTTAAGCTACTCTGCCAGAACCCCCGGGGACCGCAGCCCTCAGTTTCCACAGTCCACGCCCCACGGGGGAGAGAGGAATTCTGTGGCTACGAAGCAGGGCCAAGACGGGGCAACCCCAGGAGAAGGGGTTACCTCTGCTGACTCTCTCTGGATCTATTTATATAAATAAGTCTCTTTTTTTGGTTGCAATAAATATCCGCGAGAATCTACGGGCTGTACATCCTTGCAGCGGAGGGCCCCGCAGGTCCGGACGACAGGACGGGCAGCAGAAACACTTTTTTTAGATGGAGTTTTCTTCTGCATCATCTGTGCCCAGGGAGAACTTGCTTGGGACTGAGAAAAAAGAGAAGGGAAAACAGAGAGAGAGAGAAGTAATTATTTGGGTTCATTGACCCCAGGGGGAAAAAAGGGGGCAGGAAGGAAACACCGCTCTCCTCTGTGGACGAATTCAGATCCTCTGTGACTTCTGGGCCTTCAGATGGTTATCGGTGGCAGCTCCCATCAGTCCCAACCAATGGTGAGGAATGATAGGTGTTGCAGTCCAAACTGTAGCCCAGAACCGCCCATCCTAGATTTGGGGATACGGTCCAAACACCGATGAGCTCTGAGTTCTGCAATCTAAGTGCAAGCATTCCTTGCAGCCTCGCAGGCTGCTTTTAATAGGTTAGGCTGGGAGGGACCATTCAGGGCCGGGGTGACTGTCAATCTCTCCAGAACGAACCAATCATTCCCTCCCACCTCTGGAATCAAAAGAGAGTCCTGCCTCTCTGCTAAGAGCTCCTTTCCCCTTCTCTGAATCCATTGAGAGCTGTTGGTTCGGTTGTTTCCTGTTGATCTGCTCACAACTGGAGGTAAGAAAGATGTTTTCATTCTTCCTCCTATAGATGTCTCAGAGTGAGTTACTGGGACTGTAAGGGTCAGTTGATGAGAAAGGGGTAGGCTATCTGGGGAACTTGAAGCTATTCTTCTGTGTGAGTCTTTGTACTTCTAAACACTACTGCCCGGCTCCAGCCACAAAGCCTACCTGCACAGCTTCCGTAATGCCGGACTCCGATGGATCGCCCCAAGAAACAGGTGGCTCGACGTAGATGACAGGTGGAAGGGTACGTGACGTTGTTGTTCCCGCAGATGGTGTGGTCTATGCTGGTAGGATCCGGGCAAGGGGCGGCCCTGCACATCACGCAGTGGGCGCTCCCCGTCTGGTCCACCACACAGGTATGGGTTCCAGGACAGACGACGGCCGAACAAGACTCTGGATAGGAAGAGAAATTAAAAATTCACCTGCAGGAATACATACCGCGGTCTCTGTCTCTCTTTAGTGGACAGTTCCGGTAAAGACATGGTGAAAATACAGCTTTCCAGATTTTTTCCTTTTAATGTAGTTGTGGATACTGGTCCCGCGGATACAAGAATCCTCCTGTATGTGGCCCTCCAGAGCCACCTGTGTGGCCCCAAACCACCCAATAGGGTGGGGAAACATTGTTCCACCCCCCACCCATCCACCCAGGGGCACCTACTTTTGCAGCGGCCTTGATACATCACTTCCAGGTCCGGGTGGCCTCGGCACTTGGCCGTGAGTAACTCGCACTCGTCTCTGTAGGTGAAGCCATCCGAACCGCACACCTGAAGCTTCCGGGGCAAGTGAGAGCAGTCCGGGGCGCAGGTACAGTGAGGGCGCCCGTATTTCATCTTACACTCCTTCCCCGGCCCACAGTCTACGCCTTCACATGTCTCTGGGGAGAGGAGAGAAAAGAAAAAGGCGGTTGAGCCACAGCTGACCCCAAATTTCTGGATTTCTCCCAGTCCATGAGATACAGAGTCATAAAAACCAGCGAAATATCAGCACAATATGTACAATGTTCCTAATAGGCTGTTGTAATACTTATATTTATAATCCAGAGCAACACAACAGCTATCTTTGATCCTGTACTCTCTGGAAATGTTGGATTCTGTTCCCCATCGCCCCCAGCCAAATTTTAGATTCCGTTTCCCATCGCCCTCCTGCCACATTTCAGCTGCCATTTCCAAGAACCAGGGAGCTGTGCTCGAGACAGCTCTGCCTCGGGCGGCGGAATGCCTTGAGACAGCAAACCCCACCTCCGAAACAAACCAATTTAAAACTTTTAAAAATAAAGCAAGGAAATGAACCCAGGAATGCAGGGAAAGCAAAAGGCCACGGAATTTGGGGGGGGGGAAGAGAGAGAAAGAAATGGGAATACATTTTTTTTGTTAAAAAAGGCGAGCCGTCGGGAGGATGGACGTGTTTATAATGAATTTCCCCTCGAAAGGAACAATAAGCGCCCCTGTTCGCCTCAGAGGTCTGTGAAACCTCGCAAACAAGGACGGGCAGAGAGTCAAGAGAAGATCTGTCTGGAAAGAAGAAAAGTGGAGAAAAGCCCCCTTTGGCGGGCGAGAGGGAGACAGACGGGGGCTTTGTGTGGCTGGGTCACCCGGGGGCAAACACTGTCTGGCAGAGGGGGATTCGGCGGACGGACACCCCCCCCAATGCTTCAGATGCGTGAGATTCATTTCCCCGAAGTGGAACCCTTTTCGGGGCAGAAAAATCAAGAGAACATGTTGCCAGCAGGGAGCCTGAGATGCTCCTCTGGCATTTCCCCGCATGGGCCCTCCGAAGAGCGTCCGGGGACACAAACACACACCCCGCAAGAGCTGCCCCCCCAGGCTTACCTCCCCTCTTCCCCAAAATCGCATTTCAATGTTCCTGATCCCCAAGATTTTCTTCTTTGGATCCACAAACTTTGCCAAAGAGCCGTGGCTGGAAAGCTCAATAAAAGGGTGTGTGCGCCTTTTAAATAGATCCAGAGGTTCACACAGGATAACCTAGGTCCACTTTGTATAGGACTCCACCCCCCCCACCCACTCTGGAGTAGGAGCCCTCGCGGATACAGAAAAACACGGATAATAGGAAACACTATTTTAATAGTGAATACTATACCTACCATGGTCTCTTGTGGCCAGTTCTCATCATTACATGATGGAAATCTATTACTCTAGCAACTTCAACGGCTGTCTTGGCGGTCGGACACCAGCATGGCCTCAGAGAGCCCTTTGGGCTTTTCTAGATCTATGGGTGGATTCGTCTTCTGAGGCCTCCCTTCCTTCCTCCTCCTCTCTCTCACTCTCACTCTCTGATATCACTTACTGCTGCTCTATTTTAGTGGTAAGACAATCCTACAGATATGGTTGTCAGCTCTAGAGCCGTGGGGAAGGCAAGGGGGGACCTTTCCAGTGGCCGGTGGCAAAAAGAAGAGAGGGTTTGAAGCGGTCTGGTTTATTTTAGCAGAAAACCCGTAATTCCAGTGATAGATCGATAGCTCCATAAATGAACCTACTTACTCTATTTAATTTTATATAAATCCATCTATATAAACCCAGTGAATGAACAAATGAACGAACGAATGAATAAATAAATACAAATGAATGAGTGAATTAATAAATAAATGGGAATAAGTGAATGAATAAATACATAAATATGAGAGAATGAATGAATAAATAAATATGAATGAATGAATACATAAATGAATGAATGAATAAATATGAGTGAATGAATGAATGAATATGTGAATGAATAAATACATAAATAAAAATGAGTGAATGAATGAATATGAGTGAATGGATAAATATGAGTGAATGAATGAATTAATGAATAAACGAATAAATGGATGAATAAATATTCACAATTCTCATCAGCTGCGCTCCACCCAAAAGGGTGGCTGTTCACAGATGCTGGCGAGTGTAATTTTCCCAGGAGCAAAGGCTTGGATCCGCTCTGGATTTTGTTCCGATTTATTTGTTTGTTTATGCATGCTCTCAATTCAATAGACTGCACTACTCCAGGTGGTCGACATCCATGAAACGCGGATTTTTCCAGATGAGCGGCACCTTGGGGAGTTCCACCAAAGTTTGGATGAAAACCCAGAACAGATTCGCTCCAAACTCGTCCATGAGAATGGTTATTTATTCATTTATTAAACTTTAAAAAAATCTCCCCCAAAGGGCTTGCCTACCTTTGCACGGGTGGCACGTCACCAGGCCCAGGACCCTGAGAAAGCTGATCTTGTTGTCCGGGTGCGAGGCGTTTGACCAGGCCATTTCCGTGTTGCCGTTGGCGCAGCACTCCTCCCATGTAACGCCGGTCCGGACGATCACGGTGCACTTGGGTTCCCGTCCCTGCTGTAGCCAGCAGATGCCCCCTGTGGGGAGAAAGGCTCACGCGGGTGAGCATGGCCGGCGAAGAGACAGCACCCGTAGAACTCACGGCCACATGAGGCCATGGCTCCGGCTTCAGGTTGGCTCAAGGACAACACCAAGTCTCAAAACGAGGGACGTTGCTGGAGCAGGAGCACAGCCCTAACGAGGGAGGGCTATTGTTGGGCCTCAGGGGAGAGAAAGGGGGTGGACTAGATGACCTTTGGGAGGCAACTCTTCCACCTTTCAGGCCTTTCCTGCTGAGGGGATTCTGGGCTTTGTGGTTCCCAAGGCAGACCTCATCCAGCTCGGAGGCCAAGAGCAGTGCCTTTCCATCAGGCGTTCCCGTGGAACTCCAGGTGGAATACAAACCCCATCATCCCTAGCCAGGGTACAGTAATATGGAATTTGTAGTGAAGGAAAATCAAACCCACTCATGTACCAAGAGACCTTTTAACCACTCTTGTTTTCCACCACATGTTCAGGACGAGAGCGCCTCTCCATCCAAGCCAGCCTGGCCAGGCTCAAGGGTGATGGGACGCACAGTACCCACACCGTGGACCAGCTGCCTTTTCCCCACCAGGATCAAGGACGATGGGAACTAAAGTACCTATGCCACAGACAAGGTGCCTTTTCCCCGCCTAGCAACTTCTGGGTATTTTCCCCTTACCCCCTTGCTTACAACTCCCGTACGCTGTGCCAGCAGCGCCAGTGAGTAAGGGATGATGAGTGTTGTAGTCCAAAGCCTCTGTTCGTCCCTCAGACCCGGAGCGTACGGAGGCTGATGATTTGGAAGGGAGGCCTTCTGGGCTGAAAGTTTTGTTGTTTTTTTACACACACCCACCCCCGAAAGAGGACCATGTGAGGTCTGTCTGGATATTCCCTTTGTGCGCCACTACCCTCCCTGTTATGCGCATGATCCCATCATTTCCCCCGCTCCCCCCCCCGATGCCACCCACCCGAGGCTCTTGGCCGCCAGCTGGCAGCCCAATCAAAGGGAGGTTTGTTCCTTAATCTCGTGAACTAATCGCTCCTTCTCTTGTGGGGCGGCCTGCGAGGGTTTCCGTCTCAGCACACACCAGATGCTCAACATCTGTGGGTTTTTCCCCACTTTGAAGTGCTCAAAGGAGGCTTGGCCAAGCCGAAGATCCCAACTTTTTCTTTTTAAAAGGACTACCATTCCCAGAATCCTTCTGGAAACGGTGATCCCTTAAAAACAAAAAACTTCAGACCACAAATAAATAAATCAGAACAAAACCCAGAGCAGATCCCTCGGCTGCTTTCCTGAGCAGAGCCAGGCTCTTCCTTTTAAACCCTGAAAGGGCGCATCAATGTATTTCTGAACCTACCGAGCAGGGGGCGCCCACCTCACAAGGGTGGCGCTCTGACCTGCCCTGACCCAGTTTTTCCCCTTCCTCCAGGATAGCCCTTAATCACCAATCACCTTAATGACTAGTAACTTAACTGGAAGAAGTGGATTTGCACCGGTCTTTGAAAGGGACTGCAAACCCCATCGTCTCCTGCATATCACTCGGGGCATCATAGGTTTTGAGGCCGGGGTTATTTGGGGCATGTATTGAATTAGCTTGTTCTCTTTTTTCCTGGATGGGACAGTATTACACAGGCTGTTATCCTATGTATGATTTTAATGGACGATACTCCGGTTTTTGGCTCCGTCCCTGAAAAGGGTCAGGTTCTTCCCCATAGATCCAACAGTACCACTAACAGTTAAAAGCAGATCCCCGTTGAATTAGCTCAACAAATAATCTACCACGGATTCAGACAGCTTGTGATGTTTCTGTTTAAATCCAGAAAAAGGCCGGTCTCCTTTGGGAAGACACTGATTCCGCATCTATCAACAGTGCTCCATTAAAAGGGAAATACTGTCTGATTATTTTAACACATTTCAATTTCTGTCTGGGCAAATTAGCTTATCTTTTTTTTAAAAAAATGGGTCAGTTGGAATCTCATTTGGAGCAAGGATCCTCTTGGTGTGCCACCCACCCTACTATTTGATAATCCTGAGCTAACTAAGCTGATCCTGAGCCACTCCCGTCCATGACCAGACAGGAGTGGCTCAGGACTTCATAATCACTAGAAGTCTGTGCCATCTGGCCCCAATCATCTTACAGGGCACACCCTGGATGTGGTTTTCCCCACTTGTTTGTTTTGCACTGGGTGGGATGATGGCGATCTAGGCATGAAGTACCTCCTTGTGGTTCTACTGTGATCAACATCTGGTGAGCTCGTATGTGCACAGGTAGACTGCCCCTAAATGCAGAGCCTCTACCAATGGCAGGAAGGGCCACTCCAAGTTGACAGCGAAAGGTAGCCCTGTTCTCTAGGTATGCACTTCATCCCAGTTCTTTTCAGAGTTTATCTTAGTTGCCCATAGCTATTTTTTTATCTAATTTAAAATTTAAATTAATTTAACTTAATTCCATAATTACGTGGTGTGCATGCATGCATCTGTGTTATCATGCAGTCTACCGATGTTGTAGGAGAGAGGCAGAGAGTCCCATCCGGATAACCAGGAACTGGGGTACAAACAAGCCCATCAAAGTGAGGGCCCCACCCTTCCGTTAAAAACCCAATTTTAATCAAAGTCTTTAGGCGTGTGAATCGGCTTCTCCTTACATGCCATCAAGTCACGTCCAAACTTATGGTGCATCAAGTCAGGTCGTAAAGGGGCATGAGGTATTCAAGGAGGGTTTTCCTACTGCCACCGCCCCCTTGGTGAGTTTCTGCAGCCAAGTGGGGATTCGAATACAGCTCTCTGTCCTTGAATGGACTGATCACCCACCAGTGACATCTGAAGGAGCTCCACCATTCAGATCTGGATCTTTCACATCCGGGATGAACCGGGATGCCAAAATTTCTTGCATTTCTCTTACAGTTCAAAGTTCTACCCTCCCTATTGCTGTAGAAATACCCGTTTGCTGTGCATTTCAAAAAGTGAACGTACAATATCTTATACAGTATTAAGTAAAAGCTCCTTCATCATAAAGATGCTGCTGGACCCTTTTTAGTTTTGCTGCAATGCAGTAAAATGGCTACATCCTGACAAAGAAGGAATTACCTCTTTATTTTTTTTTGCAATAACTGAAAGGTAATTAAGTTACCTTACGCTGGGCATGACAGAAACCACATTTCTTTTGAAGTATAACTCACTGTTTTAAATTGCTCCTATACTTACAAGGTGGCAGCTTTGTGGCTCAGGAAGTTTCATAATAATTGCTGGTCAGCCCCAAAACTGACCGGCCAGCTGAGGCTCTTCACTAAAAGAAAAGATTGAAAAACCCCTGCTTATCCCCAAAAAGTAATTAAATGTAACTATTTATTTGCCCCCAGATAACTACAGAGCTAGGCATAATTTTTTTTAAAAAGGGCAATGATAATGAAAATTAACTACTGGTAGGGTAGTCAGGGGAGGGCTTTCTCTCGGTCCCATCATCCTTACAGGCGCGCTTGGTAAGGAGAAAGACAAGACGGGGCCTTTTCTTGGTGGCGGTTCCCAGAGATTGGGTCCCATCATCCTTACAGGCGCGCTTGGTGGGGAGATAGACAAGACGGGGCCTTTTCTTGGTGGCAGTTCCCAGAGACTGTGGAACTCCCTCCCACTGGAGGCCAGCCTGGCCCCATCTTTCCTCTCCATCCGCAAGCGGGCAAAGACCTTTCTCTTCAGGCAGGCTTTCCCTGTGTGACTAGCACCCTGAGCAGGGTTTTTATAGGGACAATTGTGCCTTGTTGCATTGAATGCCTTGGCCGGGCTTCCCACCACCCCCAGCCAACCTGGGGATCACCTTGAGTTCAAGACAGTGAGAAAGTCACAGATAAAACTTTGTGGGTTCCCCCCCCAGGCTTTCGGAATCTGGAAGCCAAAACCGGACAGAGAACACACACACACACCCGGGAAATGTGACAGAGAAACCCCCCGCCCCCCGGCTGACTGCAGGAGGCCCTTTGGAAAAGGAAAATTTCCCCACTGCGGGAAATGCAGCCTCTCAGTGCCAAGAGAGGTTTGTAATTCCGGAACCGCGGCGGAGGAAGGTTGCATCTGGAGGCCACGTCGGTGGGGTCTCGGTCGGGTCGGCCCTGCCGGCTTGCCACCTTCCCCTTCAAAGAAGGGGGGGGGGAACCACATTCTCCCCAGAGGAGGACACTATGGGGAGAGATATTAGATTACGCTCCAGAGGGACCGGTCTCCTTTTGAAGGCCGCACCTGGTTTCTCACAAGAGCGTTTGTGGGGCAGGAAGATGAGTAAGGCTTCTCTCCAGGTTTTCCCCCCCTTTTTTTAAAAAAAAGCTATAAAAATCTTAGTTTTAGAGGAGAGCCACGGCTGAGTGCCGAACACAGAGCTTGGCACTTCTCGGGATGTTTGCCCCCCCCCATCATCCCTACGACGCTCCACTTGTCACCCTCAGTACAGTAGGAGTGCCCTCCCCCCGATTCTGTGGGATCGGTATCCACTGATTCGCTTATCCACGGGCTGACATCAGAGTGGATCAGAAAATCTCAGACGAACCCCAAAAAAACTCCAGAAGGAGATTGAAATGGAGCGCGTCATTTTCAAAACACAGCTGCTCAAAGCTTTTAGTCCAAATGAAGGGGATTCGTTTTTGTTTTTTTTAAAGAAAAGTGACGTTTTAAAGGGAAGCTTAGGGGCCAATCCTGGTAAACAGAGTTGGAAGATACCCCTAAAGATCATTCAGTCCAGCCTCTGCCAAGGAGGGCCCCATGGGGGATTTGAACTCCCCAACTCAGGCTCCCCAGCCAGATGCTGAACCCTATGAGCGAACCAGCCAGCGTATGTTAGGGAACCTAAGATTCTGGTTCTCATCATTTTGAAGGAAGGGTTGATTTAACGATCAAGGAAGCTGCCTTGTAAGTGAAACCACGGCTCCACCTACATGCATGGCATCTACCTTGCGTGGCAGCAACTCTCGGTTTCAGACAGGTGAGGTTTTCCGTGGCGGACTCACGGCCTCACCCTTTTTAAACTCGGACGTGGCAAGAATCCAGCCATTTCCAAGCAAAACCACTGTGCATCCCCCACAGTATTAAAAATCAGAATGTAGGAAGCTGCTTTCTTGCTTTCTGGAGACTGTATCCCTAAGGTTCTGCGTTATATGCTGTTATAGCAATAACAAAAATAATCAAGGAATCATGGCATTGGAAGGGGCCTCGGAGGGCATCCAGTCCAACCCCCCTGCTCAAGTCAGGAACCTAAATCCAAGCAGAAACAATAACAATAATTTTAGCTCCAACCCCCCCCTGCTCAAGGCAGGAACCTAAATCCAAGCAGATACAATAACAATAATTTTAGTCTGAAATGCTAGCAGAATTATTCTCTAGTATTCAGTATTCCCGGGGACCTTGCAGCCCAGAAGACGTGCAGAATTATTCTCTAGTATTCAGTATTCCTGGAGACCGCCGGGGACCTTGCAGCCCAGGAGACGCTTTTGAACTACAACACCCAGAATCCCCACCACTGCTGGGCCTGGCGGATCGGAGTCAGAGTGCCTCGTTGGCCAGAGGAGAAGTGCCTCCTCGGCCCCTCTTCTAGGAGCGACAAGGATAGGAACGCATCTGATGGTCTTGAACTCCGAGCCCCATCTTCCCCAAGGGCGGGTCATGTTGGCTGGGGTTGATGGGAGTCGAAAGGCAGCCGTATCTGAAAAGCCAGGGGCTCCTTGCCTGCGGTTTAGCAGTTTTTACACAAACCCTGTCCTTATCATCATCTGAAAACTGTCACTGACGAAACGATCGCAGGTCCCAGGGCAAAATACCCGAATTAATTCGCACAGCCTGTATTGTGTGCATGTGTGGGTAGGTGGCAAAAAGCAACCCCCCTTTCCCATCTCGCATATTATGACATCTTTTAAATGTCAATTTGTGAAATAACTGGAAAGCCCCAAAACTGACCAGCCGGCTGAGGCTCCTCACTAAAAGGTTGAAAAAGTCAATTTCCAAAACCCGTCCGCAAGCAGGGAATCAAACCAAGTTCCGCGCACACGAGTCCTTAAATGATCGTGTTTCGCATCCAAAATGGCTAAATGTCTCCCAAAAGGTCCCAAAACGCTTGGTTTGGGTCTCTTGTCTGTTACGTCGGTTTGGAAAAGGCATACTTTATTTCAGATCTCTCCCACCCGGACGACTGTCATAGAGTCTGGGGCTGTGAATCGTTACATCCTCTTTGTTTTAAACGAATTCGGGATCCCAGAGAGCTTGATCGAGACCCACAGAGAGTAGTTAAGTGTCTCCCCCCACTTGATCACACAAACTTGGGGGAGTAGAGCAGGAGGAATCCCCAAACCCTGCTGACAGGGAAGCTTGGAAAACTCTCCTGGAGGACCCTAAAATAAATATAATGCAGGAGACAGATTTAATTCTGACCGCTCCCCTGCAGGACATACCTGGAAAAGGATCGCCTCCAGCGTAGCCACCCAAGCTTAGCAACATGAGCCAGAGGACCGTCATGGTCAGACGCCGACGATCAGGAGCCTAGAAAAGTTTCCAAAACTTTTGAGGGGAGTGTTGGGAGGAGGTTTCCCTGCTTATCCCCAAGCAAGAGAAAGGGGGAAGCTTTCTCCAAATAAAAAAATTAAAGCAATCCGTTGTCTACTAAAGTCGTCTGTGTCGGCAAATTCCAGGATCTCTCCGATTTTCTTGGCCGGCTGGTCTCATACAAGGCTGAGAGAGAAAGAGAGAGAGGGAATTATTTCCACCCTAAGCCTCTGTTTCATTCCTTCCTATAAAGTGTTGTGTCTCTTTCTGTGAGTGTGTGTGTGTGTGTGTATACATAAAAAGTCTTGGCGGTCTGAATCATAACTCCAGGGTAGGCGGGTTTCGAAGGCAGCCACTCATACGTTTGGGGAGGGTTACTGTCTTTTTTTCCCCTCTGCCTGTCTTTCTCGTATTCTGTTTCCTCTTTCTTTCGAGGCCCGCCTGGCCGTGGTTCCTACAGAAAGTGGAGATCCAAGGAGGGTGGCATGGTGGGGCTTTCCTCCCAAAAAAACACAAAGCGTGCCGGATGCCAGGAGTGAGACAGTGGGCCACTGGCTTAGGCCTTCTCCCGTCTGGATCTGGCCTTTAAGTCGAAATCCCGCATCTTAAAAAGCAAAACACCCAAGTTGAGTCGCTGGTGCGGCTGACGTCGGACTCGATAGCAGATACCGAGTCGCAATTTCCCACCCGTGATGATGGGGATGATGGCTCCCCCTCCCTGATCCCAAGATTTTGGCTTCAGCTGGGCAGAGCATGCAGAAAATCTATTCATTTCATGCTATTTCTTTCATTAGCTACAGACGGCCACATGAGCACAATGCACTATTCCGGGCGGCTCACAACAAGCGGGATAACTGATAGACAACAAAAACAGGTGAAATATCACAACAGAAAGGTTGGGAGTTCGAATCCCCCTCGGGGCCTCCTGGACAGGGGCTGAACTGGATCATCTCGAGGGTCCCTTCCAGCTCAGTCGTTCTAAGATTATGGATCATAAAACCATCGGAACCAACATACTCTTAATTTACGAATCTGTGCCTTTTCCTCTCCCATTTTGAAAATTCTTTGTCCAGGCTGGGGTGGGGGGAGGAATCCACCACATTCATAAATAGATGGATGGAGAGGGCCCTGAAAAAAAATTACTGTATATTAAGGATGGCTGTTGCTTTGGCAACCTGGTCCCCCACTGGCTTTCTCCCCAAAACTTGGGAACAGGGAGCAAGGATGGCGCGAAGAAGCCAGGAAGGTGTAGACGTGGCTCGTGGTCCAGGATCTGTCCCCCAAAACTGACTTGGGACCCCCGACGCTTGCCCGACACCAATTTTGGGGGGAAATGATTATTGGAGGAACTGGGTGAAAGGATACCTTTTGGAGGCCACCCCCCGGGAGACCACGAATCCCCAGTCCGCTGGGTGCCCGGAGGGTCCGTGGCCCTTACATCCTTGTCCCTTTATGCTTGCCCTTTTATACTTTATAAGGTCTTGACCTTCCCTGTCCAGCGGCTTCCCTTCATGGCCTTTCAGCAGCTTGGGTTGACTCTTTACTGCCCTTGACTGTTGGAGGCTCTCACTGACTTCCCCCCAACGGCTTGTGGGTTCCCCCCCAATGCCCTTTGGCATTCGAAGTCTCACTTCAGCCATCCCTTGGCACCCAGATTCACGCCCTTGCAGGCCTTTTTTGGGGATGGGGCTCCCCCGACGGCCTCAGTTCTGACCCCCTGGTGTCCGGGGAATTTTCCCTCCCTCGTTGTGTTCCGGGAACCTGAACCCAAACAACTGATGTTCCTCAGCCGTGTTCAAGACGCAGCATTGCCGGGAAAGGATCCTATTTTGGATCTATTTTTTTGGCCTTGAAGGGGTCCACGGAAGCAGACGGGAGCCTTTTCTCGCGGTCACTGCCGGCTGCTGTCAGTGTATGAGGTCATTTCTCGATCTCAGCTTCTTAAGAACAGCCCCCGAGGCAGACGTGTGTTTGGAGGAAGGGAGACAGGGAAATCTCCAGACATAATAAAACATCACCCTCTCCACCCCGGATCTCCCTTCTGTCTCATGAGAATCCCCTTGCTCAGGCCTGAGTCGATGAGGTCTGCCCGCGGGCCCAGCGCTCAGAAACCAGGCCGCTTTGCGTCAAAGACGTGCTGTTTCGGAAAACGCAAATCTCAGCCCTTTGTGAAGGCGAGAAGTAGAGGGAACGAACCCTCGTTTCACCCTCCACTGTGAACCCGGGGGTTTTACACCATCCCATTTCAGGCCTTGGGAACCATCCAGGGCCGGATGGAGAGGCCGGCCAGCGGAGAGGTAAAGCCGCTTGCCAACCGCTTGTTTAAAATCCTGCACTTGATGCTCCGGTTCGAATTGGCCCGGAACCACAACGAATCTTATTTTATTTGTAACAGGAGGACCAGGGACCGGTCGCTCCGCTGCTTGACAGCCACTTCAAACGGACATGGCTGCCTAATCTCAGAAATCTAGAGTTTATCGTCTGAAAAGATATTTAAAATTCTGATGTGGTCGATAGTCATCTTTTCATCCTTATGACATTCTTTTGATCCCTTAGTACAGGGAGTCTTCCCTTTGACTTCCTATACCTGCTTTGTCCCTCCTGAAGGCATGTTTTGATGATGATGATGATTTTTCAAATATATGGCTCCCAGGGCAGAGTTGAACATGATGGTGCCTCCCACTTGACATCGCTGAGCGCTTTCTCCTCAATGTTTTCTGACTAGGGATGTTAGCCAGTCTTGGGGTGTGGGGTCCCGAGTCTTTGGTACCAAGTCCTGAGTTCGAGTCCCAATTAAAAACAAGCTCCCCCCCTCCGAAAAAGGGGAGGTGTTCCTAGTCATGTGTGGAGTCCAACAAATAAACCGTTGAGTCAAGTTCGAGTAAAGTCGCCCGTGCAACTTAAGTCCCCCAACTTGAGTCTCCAACCTCTGGCTTTGATTAGCGCTCAAGCAAACTGACAAACCAGCTTTGGAAAAGCTCCAGTGGGGAAGTGGAGTGCCTAAGGATTTTCCAAAGATTTCTTAAAGCCTTCCTGGAGAAAAGCTGCTTTCTTCCCGAGAAAAGGGGCAAACCAGCCAGACTGTGTCCTGTTCCCAAGCTGGATTTTCTTGGGTTTTTTTCCCCAACATCAGGAATGCTCTTTTTGGGGGGGGGGGCTGAGGCAGGCTGGAAGGACTCCCCCAGGGACCGAAAGCTTGCTTTAAGGGAGAATGGTCCCACCAAAGTGATGCTTTCTTTTGGTCTGATTGCCCCTTCCTCACAGGCTTCAGAGAACCTCCGGATGATAGGTTGCAAGGATAGGGTTAGGGGGTTGAGAGTTCGAATCCCTCCCCGTTCGGTTCCTTACAGCTCTGCCCTTCTAAACTGATGAGAAAGACCTCTGAGCTTCAAGAGCCTGTTCTCAGGATCTAGACAGCCGTTCCTCCTGTTCTTAAGAGATTTGCTACTCTTTCCCCCAGCCTGCCATGTTCCCATATCGACAGATGAAAAACCCAGACATGCAGTAAGCCAACGTGACAGTTTCGAAGCAGGCAGACTATAAAAGGAGAAAACCGAGGCGTTTTGGATTCCTGACAGGGCTTTGCCTTTTTGTGTGTATGTTTCTGGCGAGACTCCGTCTGTGGGATTTGATCCTCGGCATTATCGATGCAGGCCTGTCGGTTCCTGCTATGGGGCAGTGACTTCACTTCTTCTTGATAGAAGTATCTGCCATTTTTTCTCTCCAGGAGGCAGGTCTTTTCTAAGGCCAATGGGCCCTAATGGCCTGGCTGAGACCAAGCCACCTTGAAAACATATTTTTGAGACTTACACCTGTTTTAACCTACTGTTACACCTCACTTCAAAAACCTCTAACATCTCAAAGCATCAGAGGTGAGAAACGGGGATAGCATCAATGCCCCCCCCCACATCTAACCTCTTTCGGATCAAGTTCCCGGTTATCTTAGAAGAATAGATCTAAGAACGGCAGAGCGGGAAGGAACCCTTGAGATCATCCAGCCCAGCCCCTGACAAGGTGCTCCCTGTGGGGAATTCGAACTCCCGACCAGACGAAGGCCCATCCAGCCTCTACACACACACACACGCTTCCTCCTGTGTTCGCCCTTTCCGAATCCCTGGCTTGATCAGAAAAAGGATTGGCGCGTCGCTCACGCAAGCGGGCTGCAGCTCCTGCCTCCCACTTTTCACGGACGGCGAAAGTGGCTAAGGTTTCACATCAGGAGATCATTAAGCCCCAGTCGCTTTGTGAAACAACACAACAGGGCTGTTAAAGCCCCTCTGGGGTCTCGCTCCCTCCTTCTCTCTCTTCCTTGCCCTGTCTTTCTTTTCCAGCTGGGACGGAAAAGCTGAAACAGATGGAAGCGCTTTCTCCCCTTTCTCTGGCCCTCGCTGGCGGCACTGAGCACCCCTCCTGCCAAGACCTTGCGGACGCTGGTGGGCGTGGAAGCAGCACGCCACGAAGGCCACTCGGGTGTGTGCGTGCAGATTTTAAAGGTCCAGAGGGGCTGCAGAGAGGAGACTTGGCCAAATCGTCAAGATTTCAATGTGGAAGGGGGTCCTCTCAAGGTCATCCAGCCGAGCCCACAGCCAGTGCAGGGAATGGGAGCCAAACCATCCCGAGGAGATGGGACACCAAAGCCCTGTTTCAACATTTCCAGTGAAGGCCAGCGCCCCCCAAAGCGGCACGAGTTCCAAGCCCCCACCCTGCGGATACTGGAAAGAGCGGATAAGTGAAGCACTCCCAGGTTCTTCGGTTTCTGTGTCTGGTTGAAAGAGGAAGCCCCAGCCCGGTCTTCCCAAACAGGTTTCCTGCCCTCCTTGTTGTAAAGGAGGCTTCCCTGAAACCAGCGACGGTCGCCCTACTCTCTGCACCCACTTCCCCCGCCAACATGGATTCTCTTTCGCACCCGAAGCTGCTTCCCCAGGAGATGTTCACTCTACACAGAGCCTCATCTTCGGTTGCATCTTGTGGCTGGTCCTAGTGACACACCTTGGGAACAGGGGGATGTCCGAGTTTTATTTATTTATTTATTTATTTCCCAGGCCGCGGATAAGGGAGACCATGGATACAGCAGACCCTGGGACCTGCCAGTCAAAACATCTGCACAACACAGCGGACCCAGGTGATATATCGGGAGATCCGGGTGTATACGTCGGGGTACCTGGGGTTCCCGCACCTCTTGCTGTTGAAGGAGACGATGCCGTGAACTCGTGTTCCCCGCACGAGGGGTCCCCCCGAGTCTCCCTGGAGGAAAAAGGAAAAGGTGGGGAAAAAAGTGCATCAGTGATGGGGTACCGTGATGGGTTTTGGAGTCGGTAGCCCAGGGAGCAAAGAGGGCAACACCCTCTGTGTCTAAAGAATACCAGCTCAGAATGCGGGAAGCCACCAGGAGGCGGCGGCTTTTATACAGCCCGCTGGGCTCCAATTGGCTAATTCAGGTCACCTGAACTGGGGGCCGCCATACCCCTTCTGGCCACCAGCAAGGTGGAGGCGCTGCAGGGCACTGAAGAGAATAGCAGCCCCTCTTCCTGAAAGATCGACCATGAGCAGAGGTCGCCTAATGGTTACAGGGACCAACTCCAACCCAAGGGATGCCTGGGTTCAAATCCCTGCCCCAGCCACCTCCGAGGTCATTCCGTTCTCAGCCTCACCTCTTGGCTTCTCCTGGTAGTCTCCCACCTGAACATTCACCAGGGCTAGGTACCTGCTTAGCTTCCCATACCAGCTGAGGTCACGGGGTCACCCCTCTTGGGAGGGGACCTGAAAACTGACCCTGGGCACCCCAAAATTTGCTCCCTCTGACTCTTAACTATTACAACACACAGCCTCCCTGCAGATCGACCACACTGGAAGATGAAGAAACATGGGTCCTGGATCCCTAACACCTTGTTTGCTGGACTTGGATCGTGACCAGAGTCTTCACTGAAGCGCTGCGATTTAACCAGTGTGCCCTCCTTTCCCTTACCCACGTCTCAGTGGGAGATACCGAGACTGTAAGTGCCAGTTAATGAGAAAAAGGGGTGGACTACTCTTGAAGATATTCTGCTCTGAAAATCCCCACAGTTCTGCTCCGTGGCTGGCAGAGTTTAACTCAACATTCAGAACTTTTCAGCCCATTTACCAGTCTCAAACAGAACCTCTTTCTCTGAAATCCACAAATATTATGATTTTTATCCAGGAGAGAGAGAAAGTTAAAAGCTCACCGAGCAGAACCCCCGCAAACGGCGACCTGGGTAGGCGGCGCAGAGCATGCAGCTGTACACATGGCCGGTCCAGGAGGCATTGCAGGCACTCCTCTCGATCACGGTCATGTTGACTTCCATCAGTGCGGTCGGGGCGGTCCCGAAATTCGAAACGTCTCCCCAGCCGATCACTTGGCATGTGTCGCCTGGGGTCAGGTCGCTGTTGGTCGGAGGGAGCCGGATCCGACGGACGCTCGGGTTCAAGACGGCGGATCCATTCAGCTGCAGGGGCAGAAATGCAAGCCAAGTTAACGTCGATTTCATCTCTGTCGCCCACTAGTGGTTGGATTCGAGAACCACTGCTTGGAAAATTAACTTTTTAAAAGTAATTTGTTCCTTGACTTCCTGTTACTCCTGTTATCTGTCAAAGAAATTTATTGGGTCACTTGCACATTTCTCATTATCTTTTCCTTACCTTCTGTCATTAAAAAAAAAAAGAAACCAAACCCTCTGGATCGATGAGAGTGAAATTAAATGCAAAGATGTCCAGACTGCCTATAAAAATGCTGTAGTAATTTGGAAAAGTCACTAGAAATTATCACCCTTCACCATGGTAACATAATTTTGTTCCCACTCGTTGGCCCAAATCCTGATGCTCAATTCTACCTGCACAGCGGGAGACGATATCAACAGAGATTGCACTGGTTTAAAACAAAACGAGAGAGAGAGAGAGAGAGAGAGAGAGACTGCACTGGTTAAAGACTTCCTTTTAAAATTTCAGGGTGTGCCTAGCTGGCAGACAAATGAGACGGAAGTTAAAGACTTACTTTTGAAATGTTGGGTTGTGCCCAGCTGGCACACAATAAGATGGAAATTAAAGACTTCTTTTTTTAGATTTGGGAGTTTGCCCCACTCTCACATAATGACATGGAAATTAAAGACTTTTTTTTAGGTTTGAGAGTTTGCCCCACTCACACACAATGAGATGGAAATTAAATAACTCATTTTCAAACCAGGCAGGATGACTGCCCATGTTGGCTGGGGGACTCCAGGAGATTAAAATTTCCCGCCCCAATTTCCTGTCCCCAGAAGTAACACTTTGAAGCTCTGATTCCATATTTCTCCTTGCCATGCCTTGTCGCATGATGATATAACTGCAGATTTTGAAACACAGGTTCTTGTCACGAAGAGCCTGTGCCATTAACAGCCTCATGGCGCAGTGAGGAAACTCCAGCACTGCAGTCAAGACTCTGCTCACCATTTGGGTTTGATGTAGATCTAGAAAAGACAAGATGGCGAGCTACGGTTTCAGATCACTTGCTGCATACATTAGTATCCTATTCCAACAGGCAGTTGGCCAGCTGATCCATATCAACAAAACCATCCTAGTAATTTTCGTCTGCACCGAGAACAGGCCTTTTGTCTGGCTTACGGCTCCCCACTGTCCCTTCAAGACCAGGCCAGAGAGCAAAATGCATTAAATTAACTCAGGAAAAGCTCAGAGTCTTCCCGGCGCTAATATGAATGCCAGTGAAACGCCGTTGGTGTGAAATTCAGAAACACAACATCCAATGCACACAGAATGCCTACAGGTTACATGGCACCACCCGTAAGTGTCCAGAATTTTGTTCTTCATTGCTCTCTTGGAATTAAAAAAAA